GTGCGCCCGGCCCTTCTCTGACCCCCCTGACCACAAACGAGGCAGGACCCTTCCCAGAGCTCGGGCACAACCCCGCACACATCCCCGCGCACCAGGCCGGGCTCAGGACCCCGAGCTGCCACCAGCGAGCGCCGATGCGGCCCTGTCGGGGCCAGGCGCGGTGCCCTCAGCCGACGGGGGGCCAACGTGCAAACAGACAGACGCAAGGCGGGCTGCACGGAGGAGGCCCGGGGGTTTGACCCGCACACCAAGCGGCCGAGGCTCCCTGCTGCCCGCGGCAGAGGACGCGGCCCCCCCGCAGAGGAGGGGGGTACACGGGGGCGGGGAGTGACCCCAGCCCGGGGTCCGAGGACCCGCGCTGGAAGGACCCTCGCACGGCCCTCCCCCCGTCTTACACAGGAGGAAACTGAGGCCCGGGGACAAGCGACTCACCCAAGGTCACCCGAGCGGCGGCAAGCGGGGCGGGGCGCACGAAGCCCCTTCTTCTTTCCCGCGGGACCTCAGTTTCCAGCCCGGTCCCAGCACGGAGCGCGCCGGCCCGCACGTACCCCTGGCTCTCCCGCCCCGGGAGCGCGCGCTCGCCCTGCCCCTCCCCCCCGCCCCGGGCGCGCGCCCGCGCTCCGCCCTTCCCCCACCCCGCCTAGCGCCACTCACCGAGGGCCCGAACTGGGGGACGCCCCAAAAAGCCCTCGGGCCGCCCAGGCGCCCCAGTGTGGGACTCCTCCCCTCAGGCCCACCTGCCGCGCCCGCCCACCGCGGAGGGGGGGGGGAGGAAACGGCGGTCGCGGCCGGGGGAGGGGCGAGCGTCCGTTTGGACCCTGCGCGTCCTCCGTCTCGTGTCAGGTGGCGCCGCCATCTGGCGGGCTGCCAGGGGACGGTCTCGGGGTGGGGGGAGGGGAGGCCTGGGCTCTCCAGCCTGGCCCGCCCTCCTGCGCACGCGCCCTACGTCCCAGGCCCGGCAAGCTTCGCCGGCTGCCCGCCTCGCCCTCCTGCGCACGCGCAAATAAAACGCCAAGAGCGCCGGCACGGCCAGGGTTGGAGAAGGAGCGCCAAGTGTCGCGAGAGTCGGCCCCGGACGCCGCGCTTGCGCCGCCCCCGCCCCGGGCTCGGAGTAGGGTTCGAGCGCCGAGGCTGCGGCGGCGGTGGCGGTGGGGTCGCCATGGCCGCCCGCGGGACCGCCGAGGAGCAGCAGCCTCTGCTGGGCGAGCAAGGCCCGGGGAGCAGGTGAGCTGGGGGCCCGAGGCCCGAGGGCCCGGCGCAGTCGGGGGCCTTGTCTCCCGCGCTCCGCCCCTCTTACACGCGGGGAAACGGAGGCAGGGGACGCGGGGCCGGGCGTGCGTGCGGCGCTCCGCAGCCCCGGGCCCCCACCGCCGCGAGGGCAGGGCGCTGCCCCCTGCCGGCCTCAGCTTCCTCATCCGCGAAGTGGGGGCGCCCTCCCGGAGAGCGTTTTCCAAACCCTCGAGCGCGACGTGTAGAGACGTGTGCGGCTGTATCTGTCACGTGTACGACAGTAACGCAGGAGCGTGCAGTGCTCGCCGTGACAACGTAGCGTGTCGGGTGTGTGCGCGTGTGTAAATCAGACGCGGGCTGTCGCCTCGGGCCCCGCAGGCCTGCTGGTCGCGGCGCCGGCCGGGTGACCCGATTGCGTGGTGCACGTTGCCGGCCCGGTTCTGCCTCCCCTCCCCCTCCCCTCCGCCCGGGGATCGCGGGTTCCCCACGACGTTCCCCCTCCCATCGCCGTGCGGTGATTGGTTCAGCCGTGACCCTCCCCGTCCCGAAGTACTCCGGGTTCTCTCCTCTTTTGTTTGCTGAGGAGGAAGCCGGTGCAGACAAATTCAGGAACCCCCACTCCAGGCAGCTGTGAGACCCCAAGTCGCCGGGTGGAAAAAGGGGCCACGTCGCAAGATTAAAACTCGGCAGTTCATCTCCCACATTTGGGTTTATTAGATCCGAGCAACTTTGACGCAGTAGAGACGGTAGTTGTTCCTAGCGTGGCCTGGCCCATCAGGAGGCACCTCGTTACTGAAATCCTGGGGATCAGAATCCCAAGTAGCGCGTAGAAATGACAAAACGCTCCCTTTTCTGCTCTCTGCTGAAACTCTGGCATTGATGATTTAGTGAAAATGAGTGGTGTGAGTTTCCTAGATAGGAAGGCTTCCCTTTGAAGCAACGTATTTAAATTTTTTAATACCACTTTGCATTAAAACATTTCTAAGACTATGTGTTCTGCTGCCTTCTTAGGTAGAAAAGTACTGACAGTTTCACCTTTTCCCTATTTAATGACCCATTCTCATGCTTGGATTTGGCACTCTGCTCTACATAATGCAGTTATGCCGTGGGGGCCTATTAAGACATTTGCTCTTCAACAAAACAGCCTCGGATTCCTGTAACATTTGAGTTGAATCTGTTTTTTGTAATTTTTCGGTTTCCATCCTTTTCAGCTCTCACTGCTGTCCCTGTGTTTGACTTTTTACACCTGCCTGATTTTCTTAAACTGTGCTAAAGATAGGAAGATCGATCCTCGCTTCAGATGTTTATCAGTGTCATTGGAGTTTTCTGTCTCTGCGGATTACCACGTAGGCACGAATATGCAGTTGGATGTAATTCGTTGGGCAGTGGCCGTCTCGGACACCCGCAGGGAGTGGGCTGTGAACGAGGCTGAGTTGCACAGGGATAAAAAGCAGAATGGGTTCCTTTGGAGGATTTGAACAGCACTTCCAGTGTTCCCAGGCTGTCCTCCAAACGAAAGCTCATGTTCTCAACCCCGTGTTTTCCCACTTTTGCTGTAGAGCCGTGACTGAGTTCTTCACGGATTGTCTTGTTTTAACCAGGCAGCGGGAGCCAGGTGATGGGCACAGAGAGTACTTATATGCAAGAAGCGGCCCAGAGGAAATCACCAGGGAGACTTGTGGTCAGGAAAAGAAATGGGCCCCTCATTGAATGAGAAAGGAAGGTGGGGGGAGAGCCCAGGTGTGTCAGTGATGCCCACCTAAGGTTAAGAGACCTGCAGGGCTCTCTTCTCCCCCAGTGTAGCCCTTCCCAATAGGAGCTTTCCTTCTAATGGAGAAATGAAACACACTTAGCGAATCGGGGGCAGAGAAAAGGGTTCAGGGAAGTAAGGATGGAGACTGGTGGTGGGCATCAGTAAGCCTGTCTACAAGAAGTGGGACAGAAGAAGTTAGAAGAGCTGCCATGAGTGAGCAGAGCCATAGGACAGGCATTTGTCTCCCATTCCAGGAGCATACAGTACCCAGAGAGAAAGCAGGAGCTGGCAGGGAAGGAGATAGTGTAGCTGGGCAGAGGGGAGGATGCTGGCTGAGCTCTGGTTTTGAAGCTCGGAGCTGCGTAGATAGACTGGGTTAGGTGAATTTTCCCTCTCTCCACCAGTTAGGAAGGTCTGCGCCAGTCAAAAATTCCCAAATCCACTGGATTAACTCCCCCATTTAGGGTGGGGTGGAGGGGAGAGGAGCTTTGTCAGGCCGCAGTGTGATCCCAGTGGGGAGCAGAGGGGAAGCAACAACCCATAGGGCTGTCTACTGCTTTGTTAAAAGACTGGAGAGAGGCCTTCCTCACTTCGGAGAGGCAGCTTTCTTCTGTTCCCTTTCTGCTCCCCATCCCCCAGAGGATTCCCGGACAGAAATTGCAGAGGATGAGACCTCCCGGTCGGATCGTGATCTCCTATGTTGGAAGATTGTGGGGATCATAGACTAAATTTGGAAGGGACCTCAGCTAGCATTTAGACCTGGGGTTCTTAACTTTTTTGTGTGTCATGGAGCCCTTTTGGAAGTCTGGTGAAACCTGTAGACCCTTTTTTGGAATAGTATTTTTAAATTCATAAAATATAGAGAAGGGGAACAAATATTTATTAATCCCCTACTGTGTGCCGGGCACTGTCCTAAGCACATTGCAAATATTTCACTTGATCTTCACAGCAACGCCTATGTGCTCTTGTTATCCTCATTTTACAGATGAGGAGATCTAGGCAGACAGAGGTGAAGTGACTTGCCCAGGGTCACACAGCTAATTAGTATCTGAGGTCAGATTTGAATTCAGGCTTTCTGGATTCCTGCCCTAGCTCTTATGGCCTAACTGCCTCTATAAATAAAATTCATAGGATTACAAAGGAAACTAATTATATATAAATACAGGTATCAAAATGTTTTTAAAAACAAGTTTATGGGGGCAGCTAGGTGGCGCAGTAGATAGAGCACCGGCCCTGAAGTCAGGAGGACCTGAGTTCAAATCTGGCCTCAGACCAGACACTTGACACTTACTAGCTGTGTGACCCTGGGCAAGTCACTTAACCCCAACTGCCTAAAAAAAAAGAAAAAACAAAAAAAAACAAGTTTATGGACCTAAATACCCCTGATCCAGATCCACCCTCTCATTTTATAGATAAGTATCCTGAGGCCTTGACAGGTTTAAGGGACTTACCCAAGGTCCTGCAGGTAATAAGTGGTATAGTTAACACTCATCTTCCAGTCAAACATTTAATAAGCACCTACTGAATGCTAGGTGCTAGCTGCGTGGAGTGTAAAGTAAAATCAAAGAGCCCCAGGCTCAAGGTGCTTATACACACACAAAATATTTACTGAGTAAACTCACAGTGATCTGGGGGAAGAAGCACTTGGCACCCAAGGAGTCAGAAAAGGCCTTGTCTTCCAAGGTAGCACTGAAGCTGAGCTCTGAAAGCAGTGATGGAGATGAGAAAGAGCATTCCGGGCTCAGGGGGAGCCTGCGGTTTGCAGAAAAACAGGGGTGTGGCATGTGTGATGAGCATGAAGAAGACCAGTTTGACTTCTGGGATGAAAGGCAACCTCCTGCTTGGCTTTTCAAGCCTTTTACCCCATGTCCAAGCTTCCCTTTGGGTTTGATGCCAATGGCACGGTCAGACCTGTGCTTTAGGAAGTTCACTGGCTGTGGGGAGGGTGGAATAGAGGGGAGAGAGCAGAGCCTGGACCCAGCAGAGCTTAGGAGGCTGCTGCAGTGGCCCACCTGAGAGGGCATGAGGCCCTCAGTTGTGGTGGCACAGATAGAAGAGGTAGGATCCAGGAGGCTTGGCTGCTGCTGTATGGTATTTGTTTGTCTCTTTTTCACCTGTTTACTTGAAGCTGCTTGATATTAGACCAGAGGTCACCTGTAGAGACCTATTTCTTATAATATCCTCTTGTTACAGATAAATAAACAGAGGCCTAAAGAGTAACCTTGAATGAGGTGACCCAGGTGGGGAGAGGAGAGCCCAGATTCAACCCCAGGTCGTCTGACTCCAGATGTAAGGCTCCGTCATAGAGGCGAAACAGAGGTCCCCTGGTCTGTCACATACCTGAGCAGAAACTCTGCAGTGTGCCTCCCCTGAAAGTTATCTAGTGTTTATGTACTTATTTTTATACAAATTGTTTCCATTAATAGAATCTAAATTATTGTTTCATTTATTTCTTTGTATCTCTTGGGGTTAGTTTAGGGTCAGACACATAGTAGGCATTTAATAAATGGGCTAACTTTTGTAGTGTTCGCACATTGCTTCAGACAACATCCTTGGGCTCCAAACAGAAATTCTCCTTTAGGGGCAGCTAGGTAGTGCTGTGGGTAGAGCTCCGGCCTCGGAGTCAGGAGGACCTGAGTTCAAATATGGCTTCAGACACTTGATACTAGCTATGTGACCCTGGGCAAGTCACCTAACCCTGTTGCCTAGCCAAAAAAAAAAAAAAAAAAAAATTCTCCTCCTTCCACTCTCCTCCCATTTTCTCCTCTCAGGTTTTCTGACTTGTTTAACTACTGCACCTGCCACAGTTCTGAGACCCCCTCCCCAGCTTAGGTGCTCTCCTCTGGATGACAACTTCCATTGTGGTGTAGTAAAAGTTAGGAGACTTGGCTTTGTATCCCAGCTCAGATTTGCTCCTAAGTCAGACTTTTCTAGAGGACACCTTGCCTGGGTGATCTGGAGAAGTAGCCTCCGAGGCCCTTGAGTGGTAGAAGGGTGGCTGACCCCAAGCAAGGTGGAAGGAGCTTCCTCACCAGGAGCCCCTTGTGTCCTTAGGCTTGTTATGAGAAAAGGGCTTTGTAAACTTGATCCCAAAAATGTGGCACCTTGAACTGCAGTGTCATGTTCCAGGTGTGGTCTAACCAGGGCCCACATTTAGTGAGACTCCAGTTTCCCTCGTCTTACATAATGAGCCTTGGAAGTTGTCAGCCTTGAAGCCTCAAAGACCGCCCTTCAGAGCCTGCTGCTGACTCGTTCTGGCTGTGTGACCTGCCTCTCCGGGCCCCCAGGCAGCTCCGTAGGACGGTACATTGGTGGGTGACTGTTTGAGATTGCTGATCTGCGTGGATCTCTCTCAGCAGAACTCATTTTTACATCAGCAATTGCCTACATTGATGAAATCCCAGGTCCCCAGAAAAACTAGATTTAGCTTTGTTGCCTGCAGCCCCACACTCCTGCTTCCCATCAAGCTTACGGTTCCCTCAGATGTTCTCCCTAGATGTTATTCACATGAATGTTGCCCTGTATTTGTGCCTTGGGATTTTTTTTCACACAGTTACATCACGTTTTTCATATTGAATTTTATCTTACTGGATTTCACTGATACTTCTATCTTGTCAAGATCCTCTAGAGATGTCTCTGAGCCGGGCCCCAGTTCCAACTATGAATTTCTTATCTCTCCCAGTTTCGTGTTTGATAAGCATGCCATCTGTAGAGGCTCCCAGGTCATCATTAAAAGTATGTAATGGCTCTGGGCCCAGCAGAGGAGAGATACTCACTTGGGAGCAGTGCTACCAAATAGACGTGTGTGAAGGATGCACACACAAGCTACTCCCAGTACTTCTCTGGGATCCTAAGTCTGGGGCTGTGATTTCATGGTTCCTGATACGGAAATTCCTCCCATCAGTTCTGTTCAACTGTCATGTTCCAGGGAAGAATTGAGTCTGTAGCAAGGCACATTGGAGTAAGAGCAGACATTCTGCACCTTCTCCCTGCTGTCCTCTGAAATTGCCCTGGGGAACATGATCAGCCTTCCCTGGAAGCCTCTTAAGCTGCCTCTGGTATACAGCCCCATTGACTCACAACCGACCCAGAGGTTTCAGAGCCCAAGCTATTAATTTTCTGCCACCTGCTGGTGGTTCCTATACGTTTTAATCACTTTTATAATGTTTTACCCTTTCTGTTTGACGAAGAACCTTGGTACGTTAATAGTCACAAAACGCTTTCACCTTGAGGAAAGTAGAATTTCTTTAGTTTATATGAAGACACCAATAGCGTGTTACTGTTAGATATATTTGGCAACCTGATGAGCGTCAGCATTTTTTGTAAGTTACTTTGATAAAATATTAGTGCTTTTCCAATGTTTCCCGTTAGCGAGACAAATAGATGTCCTGTTGTTGTTAACCTGAATTTCAAAAAGTAAGGTTTGTTCCTAGAAGGACCTGTAGGATGCATCTAAATTAACGATTTCCTCCTCTGCCTGTGGAGTTAGAATGCTTTTCCTGGGCTGGTAGACGTCGGGCCTGGAATGGGCTGTCAGGAACATCTAATCCACCCGCCTCGCCTCTGTTGACAGACATTTCCTCATTGTTTCTCTTGTGTTTGAATCCCCTCCTCCCCACCTTACATACTGGTCTATATTTGTTCGTTACTTTACATAAATGTTACGTTCTCATTTTTCTACAAATCTAGCCAGCGGGATGTTGTAGAAACCGAAGAGCATTATAGGAGTCGGTGGCGTTCCATTCGCATCCTGTATCTCACTATGTTTCTCAGTAGTGTAGGTGAGTATTGGGGGATGGGAAGGAAGGAAACAAATCAAGGCCTGTGACCTTTGTGACCTTTTTCTGCTATGGCTTAGGTGGTGAATGAATTTTTGTCTCTGACCAAAATATCAATTAGGAGTAATGCCAGTATATAACCATAATATTAAATGTGCGTGAAAATGGAAGGACAGTATTAGGACTGACCACTTTTAAAGGATTGGGGGTGGGGGGGGTCCCACTGTAACCTCTTTCAGTGGTCTTGTGTAATTCTGATGCCTTCACTAAGGACTGCCTTAGACAATCAATTGACAAAGTATTTGCTAATCAAATGAGATAACATCTAGAAAATGCTGTGCAAACCTTACTGTGCTGTGTAAGTACTGGCCTTTTTTTTGTGCTAAGCTCTGAGCTACAAGGACTACAAGGAGATGGTCTCTGGCTTCCCTGATGAGGGAGATAGCTTATACACTCCCAAGTATAGCAGTAATAGACAGAATGAGCACAAGGCCCTTTGGGCAGAAAAGACTTGGGGAGGGGAGGGTGGGATACACGAAGAGTCAGGAAAGGCGGCTTCCTGCAGAAGGTGGTACTTGAGTCATGGAGAAAACCAGGCTCCTCAGAGGCAGCGGTGAGGTGAGATGGGGCAGCTTCGCAGGCCTGGGGAGCCAGCGGTGTCAGCTCAGCGCTGCCTGTCCATTTTTCTGTTCGGGAACAAAGAATCCCTTCTTCTGTCTTGTTAGTCTGTTCTGTGTTCCAAACAGCAATGTGTGAATATCAGATTTCAGGTAAAGCTAAAAGTAAAAAGAATGCCCAATAATCCAACAAACTTATTTTTACATTAATTTTTATGTTTGTTTTTATACTGCCTTGGGTCTTTTCTATTTAGTTTGTAACTCAAACCCTTTCTAGAGATATTTGACCCAGAGTCGTTGGGTTTTTCCGGTTAACTGCTTCCCTTCCTATCCTAGATGAATTAATTTTCTTTGTCTAGAAGCTTTTCAATTTCATATAATCAAAATGATCTCTTTTGTAACTACTTCTATCCCCTATTTGATTAAGAGTTCATCCCCAACCCATAGCTGTGAAAAACTTACATGATCTACTTCTCTTCTAATTTTTTTAATGGTGTGATCTTTAATAATTAAGGCACCTAGCCTTTTTGAATTTGTTGTAGAATATGATTTAAGATGTTGGTTTAAGCCTAATTTCTGTTATACTGCATTCCACAAAAATCAGCAGCGTTTCCAGCACTATGTTCCACATAAGTTTTTAAGATCTACAAGCCAGGGGAGGTGTTTTCCTCCATTGTTTAGCAGCAGGAGCCAGTGGGGACAGCTTTTTCCTCTTTTGTTTCTTTAAGACATCCTGCTTGCCATGGGCATAGCTTTTGTGAGCCCCCGTGGTCCCCTCGCTGCCCTGAGAACAGAAGTTCAGTGGAGAAGGTTCATGATGATACTTCGAGTCTGTAGTGCTGTGTACTGTATTTGAAGGAAAGTGTTGAAACTGGAACTATAAAATGACTGGCTTTTTGTTCACCTTTCACAGGCTTTTCGATTGTAATTATGTCAGTATGGCCATACCTCCAAAAGGTTTGTAAGTCTTCACTCGCTTCCTGCTGTTACACGGATTGTTAGAATGAGCATATCAGTGACCAGAGAGATGGCATTTTGTGTCCCGAGTGCCTTCCTCGTTCAGTGCCGTGCACTGAGTTGGCACTTAATAAATGTGTTGAATTAATCAGTGTTTGTGAAATTGTATAATCACTTATGTAAGGGAATTTCAGTGATCTCACTTTTTAAATTGTTCTCGTGCATAACATTCCTAAGATTCAGGAAGTTCGTACTAATGATGTGACCTGTGTCCTTAAGTTTCTGTAATTCCTCTGGTTTTGTATATTACCTCTTTGTATAGTCTACTGTGTTTTTGAAGATCACTGTTGGCTTAAACCCTCAGTCTCTTTCTCAGGTTAAATTTTCCAGACTTTTCTAGGGAGGGACCATTTCCTAATCTTGTTATCATTTCCATTGTTTTCTTCTCTGACCTTATCAAACTATGCCCAGGCCCAGACTGTATGTGTACGATCTGTAGTAAGGCTTGTAGAGTGAGAAGTTTCTGTATGCCTTACGTATCTCTATAAAGCCTACTTTTTAATCATATGCATTTCTGATAACTGCTTCACTGCCTGAAATTGTAACAAGTACTTTAATTCATCCAGAATTCCCTGGTCTCATTCGTTATGTGTCTCTTTTCTTTAACTGCTTACGTTGCTTGACATTACTATGTGTACCTTAAAAGACCAGGCTTCCTGACCGTTGTGTTTTGGGTGGCCAGCACTACGTTGAAAAGTCCATCCGATTTTACTCTTGTGGCTTTTAGAGCTCCCAGAAGTCAAAGGGCTCGGCATCCTATTGCCGCACAGTGACTTTTCATTTTTTAATATTATTTCATGATCAGAAAATAATAATTATAATAATCAACGTTTATGTAGTGCTTTAAGGTTTATAAGGCAGTTTGTGATCATCATCCCCTTTGCTTTCCACCCACCCTGTGAGGTAAATGTGATGGGGCTGTTATCCTCATTTTACAGATGGGAAGCTCAGCCAGAAAGGGATTGAGGGATTTTCTTAGGGTCACACATCTAGTAGGTGACCGAGTTGAGATTTGGACCCAGATCTTCCTAAGTCCAGCTCTGTCTTTCTGCTCTGACAAGGTTTAGGTTTTAGATTTGAGATTAAGGAAAAAAATAGCTTCTTAATGGGTTGTTTTCTATTTGCAGATTGATCCGACTGCAGATGCAAGTTTTTTGGGTTGGATTATTGCTTCTTACAGTATTGGCCAAATGGCAGCTTCACCTATATTTGGCATATGGTCTAATTTCAGGCCGAGGAAAGAACCTCTTGTGATCTCAATCTTCATTTCCTCGGCTGCCAACTGCCTCTATGCTTACGTCCACGTACCTCCCTCCCACAATAAATACTACATGTTGGCTGCTCGTGCTCTTGTGGGATTTGGAGCAGGTAATATATTTGTTCGTATGTCTGTCTTTCTATTTGTCCAGTCTAGACTTAACTTTGACATTTAAGCCCCTCCGTAATTTGTCCCTGTCTGACCCATCAGACTTTAACTCCAGGGAGTCTTCAACACAGAGCTGCTTGTCCAGCCAGGGCAGTCACCTCCCTGCTCTCTTTTTTTAAAGTTTGTAATTTTATTTTATTTTAAACTTAAATGCAAACTAAGAAAAGAAAAAAAAAACATTGCCATGTACACGGTAGAACATAAGAGAGGATTCAATATAAAACGTTAAATTTCCATTTCAAGAAAAGCTATATAGTAATGCCACACATTGTTGTCAGAGCTACTCAGCTTTTCTTTGCCTTCTTTTGTTCTGCTGTGCACTCTTTACTTTATTTTCCCCCTCCCCCCAAAGAAGGCTACAGTGAGGCTCAGATATAGGTAGATATAGATATACACATACACACTTTGGTATATACATAGATGTCTGTAAACATGCACGTATGTGCATCCGTGCACATATATGTAAGGCTGTACTATGCTTATTTCCGCTTGTCATCTGTTTCTGTGAAGGTGGACAGCATCTTCCTTCACAAGTCCCAAGTCTTTCCATGTTTTTCTAAATCAACCAGCTCGTCATTTCCTACACCACAGCAGTATTCCAACCCAATCACATTCTGTCTGACAGACTGTGAAGTTTTTCCTTAGTTTTCTGCAATCCTTCTGTTCTTTCCCTGTTCCCTCCGTAGAGGATGCTCATTCCCATCTCTGGGCTTGTGCTGTTCTTTCTTCTTGGAATTGTCTCTCCTCTTTTTCTTCATCCTCCGAGACCCAGCTTCAGTTCTCGGCCCTTCTCCCGCTTCTTTATATAGTGAAGGCTGTTTTATGTGCATGTCTTTTTTTCCAACTAGCTTATAAGCTTCTCAGGGATAGAGATTTTGTCTTTTGCAGATTTTGTATCCCTGAATAGCCCAGTGTTGAAGCTCATGGCAGACACTCAATGAGTGCTCATTGGAATTATGGTGTTTGGTTTTTTTTTCCCGTTTTTTAGATTAAAGCTTCTAGAGGCAGGATATGTAGTAGTGACTTAGATTTGTGTATTTGTGTAAGGTTTACCTACTTGGGCATTTGTTGTAGCCGCTAGTACCTTACCATTCATACAGTGCACGCTCAGTAAATATCGGATGAACAGAAAAAGGATTGTTTGGTGTTGGTCTAATTTTAAAATAATTAATCTTGTACTAAAATTCCACGTTCACATTAGTGAAAGGGAATGCAGTGAAGCTCAGAGAATAATAATGTTTTGAAATCTTAACCCACTTGATGTGGTGGCACCTCAGTGTGTGCATCTTGAGCAGTTTTTGTGGACATAAATAGGTAACATCCAGTATGCCCTTTACTGTAACTTCCCTTTTTATAGAACACTCCGTTAAAATGAATTTTATCAAGTGGAAGATAACTTTCTTTTCATTTGGATTCTTATTTTTTTCTTTTCTTTTTTAAAGGAAATGCAGCAGTAGTTAGATCTTATATTGCTGGTGCTACTTCCCTGCAAGAAAGAACCGGTGCCATGGCGAACACCAGCGCCGCTCAGGCCTTGGGCTTTATCCTGGGTCCAGGTAGGCGTCAGTTCTGCATTTGGAGGGAGGAGAAGCAACAAAGTCTTTGTCTGCCGCTAAGTTAGGATGACTGCCACCTCTGTCAGCTGTGTTAAATGAAGTCCAGTGGCTGACTGATGAGAAATTGGATTTTTTTTTAACGTGCCATCTAAAGAAAAACCATTCAGCATCCTAACCCTTCACATTTTCTGTTGTTTTTACACGTTCATTAGAAACTTAATTCCCTGATTGTGTATGACTAGCCTTTGCCTGCTTTCTTTTTGACCCTGCTTTCTTACCACTTTGGGAGGTGCCTGTATTCTTCCTTCCTGCCATGTGTCTTATTTGATAGAGTCAGATCAGAATACAGAAATCGGCTTCTCCGTTTTGACCCTGTCCCTTTTCACGTTACCAGTCTAGCGTACATGAGTCATCCAGTAGCATCTTTTTTACTGTGCTAAGTTTTTCAGACATGTTTTGCTCTGATTGGAGAAAAGGGCGTGACGTGGCAAGCCATTGACCTGCAGGTGAACATGTACACGGCCCCCGTTCTGCTCGGCGCACTTTTGGGAGTTGTCAATATTGTCTTGATCTTTGCTATGTTAAGGTAATTGAGTGGATGCCCTCGTGCTGGTGGTTGTGGTGTGGGGGTGCTCTGCCACGGCTGATGGGGCGTGTTCTCGTGTGGCTTTCAGCTCCACCTCGTCCACGTTCTTCTCTTCTCCTTTGTCCAGCACACACGCAGCTTGTTGCGGCTCCATTATCAGGCGCTTTACACACATCATCTCATTTGCTTCTCAGGACGGCGCTGTGAGGTTAGGCAGGTAGTGTTTGACGCAGTAGAGGATGAGCTCGGCTTGGAATTGAGACTTGGGTTCCAGGGCTGCTTCAGGCTTGTGTTAGGTCACATTAGTTCTCAGCCTCAGTTTCCAGATCTGTGTAATTCATTCCTGCCTCATAGTGTCATTGCAGGGAAAGTACTCCCCGTGCTACTGTAGAAGGGTGAGTTGTTTTTGTTGATAGCTGCCAGTGTATACATGAGGAAAGGAAGGTTCTGAGAGACCCTTAGTGCCACAGCTGGCATGACACCCGTGTTCTTTGTACTGCACTGGGCTGGGGGTTGGGAGGGAAGTGGCTCAGATGTAGGCCTCACAGCTTCTCTGGGAGGGAGGCAGTCACTGGATTGGAGGGCCCCCCCCTCCCCCGAGTCTCATGTTCCAGCCTGGGAGAGTGCTTACAGACCCTCATCTTCCTCTGCCCCTTCTACCCGTTGTCCTGGCTCTGCCCTTTGGGGCCAAGCTGCAGAACTGTTGTAATCCCACTTTGTCTTCTCTCCTCCACACTTAAGTGTCTCAGGTTCCTAAATTTCATCCACAAGTGATGAGAGATTGAGATGCTTTACTCTCCTGGTCACCCTCCCTTGAATAGTCTCCTACTTGTCTGTGTTTTTCCTAAAATACGGCACCAGGAGCTGAACACAATACCCTGTGTCTGACTGCGGCAGAGGATGGCATGACTCTCGTTTCCCTACTCCTAAACACTGGCTTTCTCCAGGTGGCATCAGATACGTTACCTTTTAGCTATCATTGCTTGCAGTGCACTAAGACCTCCAGATCTTTTTCAGATGAAGTACTCCTGTATCCTGGAGTTGGAAAGATGATTCTTAAATTTTTTTTTTAATTTGGAACGTAAGAAAGGATTATTTCCATGTATACAACAGAACACTCACAAAAGGAGTTGTACACGAAAGCATATATCTATTTCATACTGCTTGCTTTTTCTTTTTATGTATCTAGGTAAATTCCACACACTAATTCATTTCATAACCATCCTACTTATCTGTATTTTCTTCTGAACTCTGTTCTCTTCTGTGCATTTTTACAAACAATGGACGTTTTTGATCTCTACTTTAAAACTATATTTTCGCCCCATCAAATTTCATCTTTCTAGATTTGGCCCAGCCTTCTCACCTTTCAGGATCTTTTTGGCTCCTGATGCCAAAGTCTAGGATGGAAGGCATCCTTCCTGCTTTGTTGTGTCATTTGCAAATCTGATAGGTATGCCATCTCTGCCTTTAGCTAATTTATTGATTAAAAATATTAGATAACCAAAACCACGGACGGGCCCCTTCAGCAGTCAGCAGAGTTAATGATTCATCCATTCAGCCAGTTCCAGACGCATAAATCACCTGTCTTACACTTACACATTTAAAGATTGCACAAGACATTTGTCAGGTGATTTCTTAAACTTGGGTAACATATATCTACAGCACTCCTGTGATCTGTCGGAAAGCGTGAGGGTATAGTTTGGCCTGATGTCCCCATCCTGAAGCCCCACTCGCTGACTTCCTTTGGTTGCCCTGTAGAATTTTGCCAAGAATCAAAGTCAAGCTCCTGAGCTTATAATGTTTGCACTTGCCTGCTTTTCCTTTGCTCTGCCATAATAATAATTCTCTGTTATCTTTTGATATCTTTTGAAAATTCCTTATGTCCACAGTCACATCAGCTTTGTTCTGGGCTGGGCAAGTTCAGTTCTTTAAAGCTGGGTGCTCTCTTTATCTCCCTACTCATCTTTTATGGCAGTCCCATGTTTGCTATTTTTGTCCTTTATAGTCCAGTGATCATTATCCTTAGCAGAGTTAACAGAAAGAATGAGTTGAATAATTCTGCTTTTTCTCCATCATTCCTTATCATTGTCCCATCGAGCCTAAGTATTATTCCTGTCTCTTCTTTTATCCTCTAATTTTCCCCCAGTATAGATTCCTTAAGGGTAACTAGATGACACATTGGGCCTGAAGTCAGGAAGACCCCTCTTCTTGAATTCAAATCCAGCCTCAGTCTGTGTGACCCTGGGCAAGTCACTTAATCCTATTTGCCTCAGTTTCCTCATTTGTAAAATGACCTGGAGAAGGAAATGGCAAAACCACTCCAGTACCTTTGCCAAGAAAACCCCAGGTGGGTCAAAGAGTCAGACACAACTGAAATGATTGGACAACAATTAGGTTTCTCAAAATAACAAACTCTTAACACTTAGCACAAAACAACAGTCTTAGCACTCATTAGCCTCAGCTTATTCTGAGTTTTGGCAGACCTGACATCACTCCTACAGGACAGTGACCCGTTTTTATATTTGACCTCTTATTTATCCTTTCTTCCATGTTCTCTATAGATCCTTTAAAAATCTAAATTGGTCAGTGAGGGTGCTGTGCATGACATGTAAAATAGTTATCTTTATTTTATATTTATTCATGGATTCTAAAATCATTTATAGTCTACTTTAAAAGACAACAGACAACTCAGAAGATAATTCTGTTGTGTGAATTGAATGTGCTAGAGCTCTTAACCTGGGATCCATAAACTTTTTTTTAATAACTACATTTCAGTATTTTAGTTTCCTTTATAATCCCTATGTATTTTATTCAATGCATTTTAAAAGATTATTTTCTTCTTGTTTGTTTGTTTTTTTGCTAGGCAATGGGGTTAAGTGACAGTCACAGCTAGTGATTGTTTTATGTCTGAGGCCGGATTTGAACTCAGGTCCTCCTGACTCCAGGGCTGGTACTCTATCCACTACCCCACCTCACTGATCCTAAAAGATTATTTTCACTTCAGTTTTCTAGGCTTGCCTAGCCTGGCAAAGAGATCCATGAGACAAAAAAGGTTAAGAACCCCTGTAATGTGCTTTTTTATAGTGGGGGAAAACATGATGTTGAGTGGAAATCAGTTATCAGTAAGTTATCAGTAATTAAACTTTCATTGACTGATCTAATTGGCGGTGGTGTACAAACGATTATATCCATTGTCTCTGCGCACCCACAAGGAGCTTGGGCCGTTTCCCAACATATTGTCATGGTATTCTTTAGGAAATAAACTGTTTTCAGCATTACTTACATTTCCTGCACTGATGAAATAATAGGTTAGGAATGTAAAGAAATTTATATGAGCTGCACCACGAAATGAGTGCTGTGATGATTGTGCTGTGCAATAACATGCTGCATTTTTTTATTTTCAAGGGAACATCGTGTGGATGATTCAGGAAGACAGTGTAAAAGCGTTAATTTTGACGAAGGTACTATTGGATTTATTTAAGAGTTTATTGAATTGCAATTATTAAGTGTTGCTAATGACCCTTGGCTGTCCGGCACTCATCTCCATTTTACTTCTAATTAAAACACATTGGATCTCTGGGGGTGAACCTTTGGGACGCTGATGAGGAAGAAGTTGTGGTTGGCGGCCTCCCAAGCCGTGTAAACTCCCTGCTGTTCACAAGTGAAAAGGGCCCTGCAGCCAGTTGGCCCCACTCCTCAAGTCCCATCTCCCTTTAAAGCTCAGGGCAGGTACCACCTCCTCCAGGAGACCCTCCTGGTGCTCCTCCATCAGCTCCTGCTGTCATTCCTGAAATTTCTTTATGTTCTGTATGCTTTTCTGTTCTCTGATTTATGTGTGTTGTTTCCCTTGATTCACCTGTTAGCTCCTTGCAGCAGAAATGCTTTCATTTTGTCTTTGTTAGATCGATTGATGGATTGATTTGCCCAAATCCACTAGCCCTATTTTCACAGAGTAAGTTGTCCTGACTGGCATCAAAAACTGCTCAGGATGACTTCATTGGTATTTTTTTTTCATGTCACCATGCTTCAGGCAGTCAGTCATTTGCTTTTTTAAATTTTTAAATTTTTTTAATTTTTATTTATTTTTTTGTTTTCAGCATTTACTTCCACAAGATTTTGAGTTCCAAATTTTCACCCTATCTCGCCCCTCCCCCCACCCCAAGATAGCATGCATTCTGAATACCCCTTCCCCTAGTCTGCCTTCCCTTCTATCTCTCACCCTCTTCTCTTATCCCCTTCCCCTTCTATTTTCCTGTAGGGCAGGATAGATCTCTGTACCCCATTTCCTGTATTTCTTATTTCCCAGTTGCATGTGAAAACATTTTTTTTAAACATGTATTTTTAAAACTTTGGGTTTCAAATTTTCTCCCTTCTTCCCTTCCCACCCACCCTCATTGATAAGGCAAGCAACTAAATATAGGTTATATACGTGCAGTTATGCAAAACACTTCCATAGCAGACATGCTGTGAAAAACTAACTCTATTTCCCTTAATCCTATCCCGCCCACCCATTTATTCTATTATTTCTTTTGACCCTGTCCCTCCTCAGAAGTATTTGCTTCTGATTACTCCTTTTCCCAATCTGCCCTACTCTCTTGTCCCCTTCTCTCCCTATTTTCCTGTAGGGTAAGACAGATTTCCAGTCATTTGCTTTTTAAACACAAGATAGGCTTGTCCTGTCCTTTGCATTCTGACCATCTAGTATCCACTAGGTCCCTTAGGGCATATAAAAGTATAAGTCATAAATTCTGTCCTCAGTGGAAATGCTACTGGATTTGGAGTTACAGTAGTTGGGTTCAAAACCCAGCTTTGCCACTTGCTACCCGAGTGTGTGACCTTGAGCTGGTCACTTTCTCTAGGCTTTAGTTTTCCTCATCTCTGAAATGAATTGATGATCTTTAAGGGCCCTTCCTCCTCAAAATCTGTGTGGTCCTCAATGTTGAAATGACTTCTCTGCTAAAATAGGAAATGTTACCATTTTACAAAGTGCAAAACTTAATACAGCTAGAGACCCAGGTGCCTGATATAGGTAAGCTATGGGAGGGGAGAAATTGATGTTGATTAGAGTTATTGGAGCAGGCTTTGTAGAAGGGATGGCCTGGAAATAGGCCTCGTTAAGTGAGGAGGATGAGAAAGGGGTGGGAAGGCCCTTGATGTTGAGTGTAAGTCCTGGTGGTATAGGGCAGGCAAGGGGACCCAGGAGAGCGGCCTTCATGTTTCAGGAAGGTCATCTTGGCACCTGCGCAGGGGATGGATTAGTGAAGGGAGAGAAGCCAAAATGAAGAAACTTAATTAGGCTGTTAGGAGTCAGATGAGAGTAATCAGGATCCACCCTAAGGGGAGGGGTAGCTTGTGAGGTGAAAGAAGATTGGATATGCAGCACAAAGGATTGTGTGAGGCTAGGACAGCTTTTAGGAAAAAATACAAAGGACGATCAGTAGAACAAACAAACTTTCGGAGCAAAATGTTTCAGAAGGCATCGGGGTTAAGTTTCTTCTCAGTGTGGTTTCAATTGAGTCTCACTGAGGAAATTATAAACTAGTTTTTTCCCTTTTATCTTTCATGACGGTAAACATAAAAAAGTCTCTGTTTTAGAATATTTTAATTTTTAAAATCCCAGACTTATGCAAGCTTGATTCATGAATTTTAAAACCATTTAAATATTTTATTTTAATGTTAGTTATATTTGTCATACCCAAAGATCAGTGGTTAACCTGCTAAAGTGTTTACACATACACCCCCACCCCTGGTCATTTTCAGGTATAGTATCTGCATAAAACAACTAAATCATCATTCAGTTTTATTATTTTTTGCCAAGTTAATCTGAAAAGTATGGAAGAAAATTACTGCCTTATTAAAAACATATAGTATAGTGCATATCCTCTAAAAAAAAAGAATCACAAAAAATGTAGTAAGGTTTCATCAGTTAGCAAGAATGATTTTTTTAAGAATGAAAACTGGATTAAATTATATCTTCTTGCAGAGTTTTAACTGATTTTGATTTAAATCAGATCTATCCTACCTACTTTCCACTTTCAGAATTGATTCAATCCTTTTGATTTCTAAAGTATCACTTATAGACTCATAACGGGGCGAGGGGGATCACAAGAGGCAGTGTCATACGATTAAAATGTAGGCTCCATGTAGGCCAAGGACAACATTCTATATTTTTGACTCAGTGGCACAGAATATAAAGCTAAGCATTGCTTAGTAAGTATTTATTGAATGAAAAAATTTAAATGCACTAGTACAAAAATATTTCTTTTCCATTTTTTTTTTTGCTTATTCTTCTAAGAATGAAAGGGGGGAACTTCCCTTACTCCCTCTTTTGTCTTTTCCCACAGCCTCTTTAATAATAGTAATTATGATAGCTGGCGTTTACATTGCACTTTGTTATTTTATTTGATTAATACTAGCCTGGTATAAAATTATTAGTTACTTGGAACAAGTTGTTCTCAGTTATACACACTGCATAGCTCAGTCACACAGAGAAAATGTGGTCATGGCCAAGAGGACAGCTCCACACGGTTGCTCTGCCCTTTCTACTTTAAAAAAAAAAAAAAATACCACCTTCAAACTTTAAAAAATTGTTTTAAAAATGTAAGTCTCTCAGTGTTTTATATATTGCGGTGACCCTGGAGCTTGAAAGACTGCAGTAGAGCCAAAGCTGTCAGGTGTTTGAGTTGGGCCCCAGTGTCAGCCGAGTACTGGCCCGGCCAAGCTGGAGGGCTTCATGACTAGGCTGGCTGTGAGGCCGTGAAATTTTAGGTCACGTCAGGTCAGAGAGGGGTTGCAGTCTCTGGTGGTGGAGTATTACCCACCTTTCGGGAATCACAGATCTTTCCAGTATTCATCGCAGTGTGGATATTAGTTTTGCAGACATTATTAAATTTTAAAGTAAATTTAGTGAGGTTAATGACAGAATTTCCTTAATCATTATAGTCTTCTTAAAGTCCTTGAGTTCTGATCTTTAATAGCTTAAGGAGTTCTGTGTGATGATAACATTTAAAACCTTAAAAAACATGTCTTACAATGATCTTTTCAAGATCAAGATCCTTAGGGATGGAATTTGATAGGGGCTTTCTGTTTGTTGTTTACGTGATAAAGTGGTCTAGATACACTTAGAGAATGTGGGAACTGTGGATGACTGAGTTATTCTGTATTTCTCTGCAGCCGGCTCAGATGTAGTTCACGATTCCCAGGAAGGCATCGATCAGGTGGCTGTCGTCACCACCAACATTCTATTCTTCATCATCCTCTTTATCTTCGCTATTTTTGAAACGTGAGTTTTATTATTTCTCTATCATATTACCTGAACTATCCCATTTTGTTTATTAACAAAGTATGTGAATGTGCCTACGTACCCTTTGAAAGACAGTTTTCTCTGATTATGGAACCAAAAAAAAAAAAAATACAGGCACTGCAAACTGTGGTATTCAGTAAAAAAAACACATTTAGGAGAGCAGGGAACCTGCCATTGTATCTTCTTTGCTCATTCTTCTCTTAGTATTTAATACTTGGATAATAAGCATTGACATTAATGTCCGGCAGTTTAATGCCGCAGCTTCTAGGGCAAGGCTATTAGCTTTAATGTAATTGTGCTCCATGTATTCAAAGAATAATTTTCCAGCAGTGCCGCAGCCATCTGGGACACCATTGAAACTGGGGAAGGACATTTGGATCTCCCGAAATGGCTTCCACCGAGGATGCTGTTTTGTCTACGTGGCGGCTTTTTTTGAAGTCTTGTAGTGATTGGATGGAAATGTTAATAGTGTTATGTTCCCTGTCACCTTAATATTGCCTTCCTCTAGGTGGAAAGGCGGAGGGCTGCAGGGAATATTTTCAACATAGGCATTTTGTCACTTGGTAGACTTCATTAAACATTGTCTCTCCCTCCAATACCCTAACTACTCAGTTCCTCAGCCTACTCACCTCCCATGGGCTACTCCTCCACCCCACCTCAGCCACAGCCAAAGATGGTCACCCCCTTGGTCTTGGTATCATCCACAGATGTACCACCTCCATGGTCAAGAATTCTGAAATCTAGGGGCAGCTAGGTCATGCAGTAGATAGAGCTGCAGCCTTGGAGTAGGGAGGACCAGAGTTCAAATCTGGCCTCAGACACTTGACACTTACTAGCTGTGTGACCCTGGGCAAGTCACTTAACCCTGATTGCCTCACCAAAAAAGAAAAAAAAAAAGAATTCTGAAATCGTCTTACTGATGGTAATTGCTTGGCTTTCCACCTTTCTCTGCCTTCCCTTACCAAACCCTACTTTTCATCTGCACCATGACCTCCAGTCCCTTGACCCCTCACTACTCTCGCAGGCCACCTCCCCTGCGCTGGACGCTCTTTTCCCCATCTTGACTCTTCAAAGGACCTATACCATTCTACCCCGTCCTCCTCTCTTGAATTCCTTGCCCCTTTAACATAGCGCCAGCTGTGCCCAGCCCGGCCTCAGCCTTAGCCTTGACCATTCATCGCCTTCTCTCCTACACATGTGCTGCTGAGCAAAGATGGAGAAAATCACACCACCGCTTTGACTGGCTCCACTGCAGATCGATGTTGTCCGCCCTCCCCTGGGCTCTCACTGGCTGGGCAGTCCTGCCACGCCTCCCTTATCAACCTCCCCTTCTCCACAGTGGCTCTTGCACACCTTCTCATCCTTCCTCACATCTTCAGTGGCTCTCCCTCTTCTCACTCTCTCAGCTGAGAACCTTGCCTCATGTTGTACAGAAAAAGTGAGGGCATGCCTCCTTTGTTCCTGTCTCAGGTGACGCGTGACCTTAGACCTTGCCAAGACGAATCCCTCATTCAAGCAGTCTTATTCCATCCTGTCTCCTCCCCCAGGTTGTCTCCTCCGTCATCCCACTTTCTCACTCCTTTTCAGTCTCTCCCTCTTTACGGGCTCTTCCTCTGCTGCCAGCAAACATGCCCTCTTCTCCCCTATCCTGAATAAACCCTCCAGATCCTTGCATCCCCTTTAAATATTGTCCTTTATCTCTCCTGCCCTTTGTAGCGAAGCTCAGGAAGGCTGTCACAACAGGTGCCTCCTCTTTCCTTCCTGTCTCTTCCCTTCTTTTCCCTCTCTTCTCAGCCCCTTACAGCCTGGCTTCTGACCTTATTACTCCACCAAAACTGCTGTCTGCAGTTAGCAGTGATCTCTGTGTTGCCAAATGCAGTGGCCTCTTCTCAGTCCTCATTCTGCTAGAGCTCTCTGCAGTCTTTGGCACTGTTGAACACCTGCTCCTCGTGGCCGCTCTCTTCTCTCTCCTGGTTCTCTCCCTCCGTCTCCTGCGCCGGGTGCTCCTCCACATCACGCCCTCTAACTGTTGTGTCGCCAGAGCTCCGTCCCGGCTCGTCTTCTCTTCTCCCTCAGCCCCCCATGGATTAACTGCCGTCTCTAATGCTGATGATTTCCGACTCTACTTATGCTGCCCCAGCCTCTCTGCCGACCTCCAACGAGATGTTCAGTAGATGTCTCAAACGCAGCATGTCCAGAATGGAACTCGTTATCTTTCCCCATTAAACCTCACTACCGCCACCTTCCCTATTACTGCAGAGGACGGCACCATCCTCCCAGTCCCTCAGGCTCTCAACCTGAAAGTCGTCCTGGAAGTCTCGATCTCCAGGCCTGTCCTTTTCAGCTCACACCCCTACCCTGGTGCAGGCCCTCATCACCTCATGGCCAGACTGCTGCAGTAGGTGCTAAGGGTCTGCCTGCCTCACGTGTCTCTGCTCTGGATTGCCAGCTTGCATTCAGCCACCAAAGTGACTTTCCTAAAGCCAGGCCCCATCATGTCACACCCCCCACCCCCATTCAGTGAACTCCAGTGACTTCCTGTTGCCTCCAGGATCAAGTACAAAACATCCTGTTGGCATTGAGGGCTCTTCGTAACCTGCCCCGCCCCCCCACCTTTCCAGTCTTCTTACATCTTATTCCCCAAGACGTCCTCTCAGTCCGGTGACAGCCGCCTCCGGGCTGCTCTGTGAACGGCGCTCTGTCTCCTGGCCCCGGGCCTTCTCTCTGACTGTCCTTAGGGCCTGGAATACCTTTCTGGCTTCCTTTCGGTCCCAACTCAAATCCCGCCTTCCCTAACCCCTCTTAACTCTAGTTCTTTCCCTCCCTTAATTGTTCCTGTTCCTTCTGCTCATGGTTTTCTTTGTGCATGTTTGTTTGCACGTTGTCTCCCCCGTTAGACGGTGGGCTGCTTGAGAACAAGCACTGTATTGTGCCCTTTTTTGTATCCGCAGCACTTGGCATGGTACTGGACGCATAATAACAGTTTATGGATTGATTTTGCTTAACTTTAGAAACCACTTGTTTAAGAAGTGGGGAAAACCGTTTAATCCGTTTGGATAGTTTTCTGTAGATAATTGTTCATTCAGAGGCCTTTCAGCTTCCGTTATGTAAAAAATTCACTCGGGAAGCATCGTCCCTCAGAGGTGCCAGAGCCGACTGATAAATGGCCAGAGGGTATGAGCAGGCAGTTTTCAGAAGAAATCAGAACTATCTGTCATCATATGAAAGCCTGCCCTCCAGGACCCTCTCTTGTAGGGGAGCGGTGGAAAGAGAGTCGCGTAGCCTGGGGCAGCCAGTCACCTGGCCTGGGCAGAAGCAGGGCTTCCGGGGAGCACAGGATGGAAGGAGGTGCTGTGCGGCCCGGGAGGCAGCAAGCTCTGCGGGAGTGGGGAGGTGCATCCTGCCAGCTCTCCATGGGGGCAGCATGCTCACTGGCGGGCTGGTGGGCATTTTTCTGCGTTGATTCCTTTGCTTTGTATCACTTCACATGAGTCCTCCTGGGCTTCTCTGTAGCCTTCACGTTCCTCTTTTACAGTGCGATAATAAAATTCTATTACTTATGTACCAGACTGTTGCGGAAATCTCCTTGTTTACAGGCCATTACTGCTCTAAGGAGTGCTGCTATACACATTTGATGATGTTGGCGGCATTGTGTGCTTGGCAGTAGGATCTCTGGGGGTGAATATTTGAGTCCTTTTCTTTGAAAAGTTCCACAGTGTTTCCCGGAAGGATGGGACCAGTCCTTTCACAGTCACAGAAGGTGTGTCAGGGAACCTGTCGTTTGAAACCTGCCGCTGTCCACATCCTCATTCCTCAAGCTCTCTGCCTCATCTCCCTCGGCCTCCTTTTTACTGCCTGCCTCGTATCGTACTTTGCGTGGCTACGCAGGTTGAATTCGGCTGGGGAATGGAAGCTGTGTGAGGGAGAGGCCTGCAGGCTTTTTTGTCTTGATTTTCTTTGATCTGGCCCGGTCCTGTGCACATGGTGGGAGTTTAGTAGGGATGGTTCTGTTGCCCTGGCCAGATCCCACACATGCAATGCACAGTACAGTACGAGGTGATCAATGAAAAGGGGAGGGGAAAAGAGAGGGCTGCCTGTAAACCAACTGAATTTACTTTTGGACTTACTGAGAGACAGAGGTCTGGGAGGTCTGACACCGAATCTTCAGATTGAGACAGGAAACTAGATTTCTGTGCCATATTACGTCCAGCTAAAGAAAAAGTAAGAAAGAAAAAAGTGAGAAGAGGGAGAAGGAAGAGAGAAAATGGAAGGGGAGAGAAGAAGAAACTGACAATCTCCATAGGTTCTGAGGCAAAATGATTTTTAAAAATTTTTTTATTAATTTATTTTGATTTATCAACAATCACTTCCATAAGCTTTTGAGTTTTAAGTTTTTCTCTCCCCCCTCCTGAGGCAAAATGATTTAATACCAGTGGTGGTATGCCGAGCTCTAAAGCGATGCAGATCCACATTGATGCTGTTGGCTGTGTAAGTGTGTTCTCCACTTGCTCTAATTTAGTTGTCCTCATTTCTAGCATCGCTACTCCACTAACGATGGATATGTATGCCTGGACCAGGGAGCAAGCTGTGTTGTATAATGGAATCATACTTGCTGCTCTTGGAGTGGAAGCAGTTATCGTTTTCATGGGAATCAGAGTGCTTTCCAAAAAGTAAGTTATCATGTTTTGGGATTTTGTTTCCAGTCTAGCCATAAAATAAAAATGCAAAACAATGATTAGACCGATCAAAGTGTTGCCAAAGTATTTAATATATATTATTTATACCGCTTTATATAAGTTAGTTTTTTAAATGTTACACAGACATTTATTTCTATCCAATAAGATAATATTTTAAACGTTAGCTGAAAATTTGTAGGAATTCTATATCAGAACCCTTTTGTAAAAAAAAATTTTTTGTGAAACAATTACCTCATTTTTCTGATGTCTAAATGTAGATCATTGGATATTGTATTTGTTTAAACTGTACAACTGTGTAGTTTGAGGGACCACCAGCATAAATTGTGGGTAATGTGACAGTTTATATTTTTAAAAAAAGAGGAAAAAGTTAATTGATTTTTAAATATTGTATTTTATAAGTAATTGGAGAACTATTTGAGACCTTCCACATGGCCTTGATCTCTAGGTATTTACAGATTATTTGGAAAGGAAATAATCGTCCCATTAGTGCAATAATGAGATATATTATAAAATGGTGTATGATTAGTTGCTAAATGTGTACACCAAACAGGTAAGTGCCTTGAATTCGGAGAAGGTGAACTGGGCTGATCAGAGACAGTTTCATGAAGAAGGTGAAGATTGACCAGGCCCTGAACAGGCCAGTGGTCCCCCCAGCTGGGGACCTGCCCACCCAGAGAAGGCCGTTCAGAGGGCGGCACGATGAATGCGCACAATGGCCAGCGGAGCCTTTCTCCAGCCAAGACACTGAGTCCTCCTTTCCCAGTTAGTGCCCAGCGCTCTCCGTGGGCTAACCTTCCGTGACTGTGCGAGCTGCCAGCCTTCGTGTGCCCACGTTACCACGTGTCTGCATCAGGGGTGCCGCTCCGTGGGTTCTGTGTACCCCGGGACACCCACCAACACCCCACCTCCTTTTGGTTTTTAACGAACAAAGAGTCACACGTGAGTTGAGATCTGCGTTGCAGATGTCCTCACATTACCTCTCGATCAATGAAATATTTCTGAAGCGCTTCGCACAAAGCCTGACACATCGTAGGTACCTGATAGATGCGTATTCCCTTCCCTAAGCCCATCCCTCTTCCACACCTCCTTCCTTCTTGCCACATCTCGTCCCTTGTCCCTCCACGTCACATCTCACATCTATCTCTTCCCTTTCTGCTTATGCACCGCCACGGCCAGCCCAGCTCGGGCCCTCGTCACCTCTCCCCTGCACTATCTGCCCAGCCTTCCACTGGGCCTCCCTGCCCCATCTCTCCCTGCTGCAGCCTGTCCTCCACTCAGCTGCCAGAGTGATTTTCCTCAAGGGCAGATCAGACCACATTGCTCCCCTGCTCAGCAAATTTCAGTGACTCCCTGTTGACTTCAGGATCAAACATCTTTCTTTTTCTTGTTTTTGTTTTTAGGCAGTTGGGGTTAAGTGACTTGCCCAGGGTCACGCAGCTAGGAAGTGTCAGGTGTTTGGTCTGAGGCTGGATTTGAACTCAGGTCCTCCTGACTTCAGGGCCGGTGCTCTATCTACTGTGCCACCTAGCTGCCCCAAACATTTTTCATATTTATTCATCCTTAAAAATTTTTTCTGTAACTCTTAGACATAATTGTTAGTAGTACGTCTGTGTAATTTTCCCATATTCAGGATGTATGCTCAAAAATTTGTTGCTGGTAGGATAAGAGTATGTGAGCCAAAGTTTGGAGGTCACTGGTCTAGGCAGCAGTGGTGACGAGGGTGTTCCAGCAGGAGTGGCGTGAGCAGGTGGGGAAATCTGCCTGGCATGAGCGCGGGTGGACCAGAAGTCAGGACAGCAAGCCACAGGTTTTGCTATGAGTATATTGGTTTCGAGATAACGATGGGGCCTCCAGGGGTAGACCTGCAATGATCAATCACCCTGAGGGACCCAGACATCCTGGAACACCAGTTAGAAGATTAAATTGTGCTCAGCCCATTTTACTTACCAGTGCAAAAGAGTACATGGATTCATTCTGGGAAAGATTCTCAGGCATCTAAGCTGAAACAGAAAGGGGTTTCCTGGGAATTGTCCTGATTCCTCACTCTCTCGTCCCTCACATTTCATCATGCCCCGCACCTTCTTTCGTTTTTCCTTTGGAGTCCTTTCAGTGTCTTTTCCATGCCTACCCACTGCCACAATCCTAGCTCCCACCCTTCTCACCCTATGCCTGGGTGAGAAATTTTTTTTTTCTTTTTTGTGAGGCAATTGGAATTAAGTGACTTGCCCAGGGTCACACAGCTAGTAAGTGTCAAATGTCTGGTGTGAGGCCACATTTGAATTCAGATCTTCCAGACTCCAGGCCTGGTGCTCTATCCGCTGCACCACCTAGCTGCTCCTGCCTTCATCTCCTCCCCGCCAACCCATCTCAGAGTCACCTGCGTGGAGAGAATTCAGTCTGTGGAAGCTGAGAGTGTGGAGGAGGGAGGGAGAGAGAGCAGTTTCAGCTGAGCTGAGTCAAGAATAAGGTGGTGGAAGGCCCGGAGACTGGCAGGATGCTAGCATCGTTCATGCAAATAGGAAAGTTCAGGAGGGGGGAGTGAGTTTGGGGGAGAAGCAATGTAACGTCAGCTGGTGAGTGCGTGTTCATTCTGTCCTGCTCGCTTTTCCCCACCAAGAAGTGAATAATGTGTGTGTGTGTTGAGAGGGGGGTTGGTTGCTGCCCCTGAGCACAGTGGTGACCCCAGGGTAAGCTGTGGTGACTTGGAGGGAAGAGTGGGAATGGAAATGTGTGCAGCCGCTTCTGGGCCTGGTTCCAGTTATCTTCGAACTCTCCTGCCCTGATGGGCCTTCCACCGATGCATCTGGAAGAGCCAGCCAGTGGTAGGGGGAGAAGGCGGGGGCAGCACTGGTATGTTTGTGTTGGCACCAAGTCTGTGCCTTACTATCACGGGAGCAGTGGGGTGCCACCCATCTTCCCCCTCTTCCGTTGGTCATTCCCTCATCACCTGGGGTCAGGCCAAGGCTTAGCATCATTTCTCAGCCCCTATCCTACAAATACAACACTGGCCTAGGTGATAAAAATAGCCAAAAACTTGGGTATCCCAGACCTCATTATATTCTGTTAAATGGTATTTTTACTGTAAATTACCAAGTTGTTTAACTTTAAATTAATGAGCGTCTGTTTTTTGCTAGAGTTGGAGAGCGTGTACTTCTGCTTGGAGGACTCATAATCGTTCTATTCGGATTCTTTATCTTGTTACCTTGGGGAAATCAGTTTCCAAAAATCCAGTGGGAAGGTATTCTCTTGATTATAAAAACTTATTTTTATCTACTTAAGCTACTTTTGTTTTAAAATAATGTGCTGTGCTTACTTTTTAGATTTACATAATACTTCCATTTCTAATAAATCATCGGGAGGAAGAGTTCTATATTTTTGGAAGTCATCAGCAGGAAATTCCAGTGACGCTCCAACCGGCTGCCCAATTGAGCAGTCCTGGTGTCTCTATACTCCAGTGATTCACCTGGCCCAGTTCCTTGTTGCTGCCGTACTAATAGGGTTGGGTTATCCAACCTGCAATGTTATGTCCTATACCTTATACTCAAAAATTTTGGGACCAAAACCTCAGGTAAGAGAATTACAGAGAGGCTACCATGAAGGTCTTTTAAAACTTGCAGTTTTTGCTACATGATTTCCAAATGGTCTGATTTGTAAGTTTTAAGATTGACATTTTAAATCAAGAGAGTAGACGTTTGTAAAAGTTAATATAATGCTGAGGTTTTCCAGAATGTTCCTGGAAACTCACTAAGGTCACAGTCTAGTTTCCCTGGCAGGAGTGGTGGAGCAGAAGCAGCCCGTCCAAAGCCCTTTCTTCAGAGTTGATCAGAAAAGGGGCTGTGGGTCCTAGTTGCCTGACAACAGACCTGTGTCTGCACAGCCTGGCCTTGAGAGTTTCTAACAACACTGCGAAAGGCCGCCAGGTGGGGACGCTTCTTCAGCAGTTGGCCTTTTGCTTTGTAAATTGAGACACAGTATTTTTCATGTAGGAAAGTGTGATGGTTCTGTGCTTTTCTCCTGTGAAAGGAAAAGACAGTACTTGAACAATAGGCTAGGTTTTGGACTTTAAGCTAAAGCTCAGATAGCATTTTGTAACAAATTTTGGCAGTATTCATCCTCTTAAAAAAGACAGGTCTAGAAGGTTATGCGTTTCTTAAAGAGCAATGTCGTTCCAAACTCTGAGCCCTGTCCCAAAGCCTCAGCCAAGTCTTGGAGGCTAGGGTTCCATAACTGCTGTTGTTCATTCGTGTCCCGCTCTCCGTGACCCCATTGGGGATTTTTGTTGGCATAGATACTGGAGTGGTTTGCTATTTCTCACTTGACAGATGAGGAAACTGAGGCAAACTAGGGCTCAGTGACTTGCCCAGGGTCACACAGCTAGTGAGTGTGAAGCTGGATTTGAATCCAGGAAGATGAGTTTCTCTGTCATCTGTCATTTTTGCATGAATTCAAATAAAATAGGAATAGTAAATATTATTTATATGGACATTATTAATGACTTATCAAGCTGCAGTACCATTGCTGAGCTAAATCTAAAGCTCGTCTTTCATGCTGATGTATACCTGAAGCATCTCTTAAACCGTCTTAAACTGTCAAAGGCAGAAAAAAGAAAATGATGGCGGGAGGAACGTGTGGACTTAAGTGAGAAGGTCTGGCGAGGAAGAGGAAGGAGGAAGGCTTGACTCTTAGCTGAGCCTTCTGCTGCTGAGAGACTTTGCCCTCACTTTGTGAACAAAAACTGAACCCCGTGTTCACCCTCTGTCTTCTCTTCAGGGCGTCTACATGGGCTGGTTAACAGCTTCTGGAAGCGGAGCCAGGATTCTTGGACCGGTGTTTGTTAGCCAAACATACACTTACTTGGGGCCCCGATGGTCATTTAGCTTGGTCTGTGGAATGGTTGTATTAACGATCATGCTTTTGGGAGCAGTTTATAAGAGACTTATTGCTTTTTCTATACAGCATGGCAGGGTCCAAGAGTAAGCCTTGGGAGGGTTAAGTTGAAGAGGTGCCTGATTTATGGGGCTGCCCCACCATGGGCTTCATTTCAAGATTGCTGGGAGCCCAGAGCTTCATTTCCAGAAAACTGGGTGATTTTAGGAAGGCTCAATCAATAGTCTGTGTCTTGTGATGTGTATTAAGCACAGGCCAAATTCTGCCCCCTGCTTTGTACCATAGGGCAGTTAATCACTTTTAGATTATAGCTTCCCTGTATACAAAGTGAAACAAAGCTTTTACGTCATCTGAACTAATGAGCAATATATAAATGCTTAGCAACATTCTCCTAAGGTAAGCTGCACCTCCTTTATTAAATTAGTTTTGAATCAGGTTTACACTATGTCAGAGAACAGAAAAAGAACAAAATTGTAGAAACTGTTGATTATAGTGTGAGGCAGATGGGCTGTAGCTCCAATTTTCATACCACAAAAAATTTAGAAATGTGTATTAGTATACCTTCTGTTGTTGTTCAGACTTTTTCATCATGTCCAACTCTTCTTGACCCTATTTGGGGTTTTCTTGTCAGAGATACTGGAGTGGTTTGCCATTTCCCTCTCCAGCTCATTTGACAGGTGAGGAAACTGAGGCAAACAGGGTTAAGTGACTTGCCCAGGGTCACATGGCTGGTGAGTGTCTGAGACCTGCTATGAACTCTGGAAGATGAGTCTTCCCAACTCCAGGCCCAGTGCTCTGGCGCCCCCAGCTGTCTGTTACACTATACCACAGGGTCCCCCAGGCCAGACGACCTTAATTCAAGTCCCGTCTCTGACACATCCTGGCCGCGTCTCTCTGGCCGGGTCTCCGTGCCCCAGACGGCTCTCCTTATTCATAGTGACTGTAAATGCAGAACGAGTGCCCATCTGCCTAGCAGAGCAAGCGTCCTCACTGGCACCGCGTACGCCCCTGCCTCCCGCAGTACGCGTTGTATATCATCTTACAGGTTTACCCGTGCCTTTCATCTGTCCAGCCCTTCCTTGAAGTCCCAACGACGTGCAAAGTGCCATGCTAGGTGCCGAGGGATTCACAGTCAGTGAGAGCAGCCCAGGCTCGAGGCTCCTCCTTAGAGGGGAGATGGCATGAGTGAGTAACCCCACGTAGAGTAAGTACTAGAGAGAGGGGGGCTTCTGGGGGCTGTCTCTTCTGAGCAAGCAGAATCAGGGAAGGCTTCATTCGGTAAACAGAGGTGTACCCAAGGCCTCCTTAATTGAAACGCACTCAGAAGCAAAGACAGAAATCCGGTTAGATTGAGTTTCCTATGAAGTTATGTGTTTGTTTTAATTGCTCATGAACAATTTACTTAGACTGTATAGATAGACTTACGTCTGTATGTGCAGAACAAAAATAATTTGAGAACAGAGTTGTTGACATGGTAAAACTCTAGTTGAATGCTCTGAGTATCTGTTCACACCTGAAGGCAGGTTAATGTTTTAGCCCTGGCATCTCAGGAGTGGCAGAGGCCAGAGAACAGTGGTCAGGTAATTCCGCTACATCAAAGGATTTGGTTATCATTTGAAGCAGAATGATTTTACTAAATGTGAGATGTTTGGGAGAAGCCCAAAGTTTTCATTGTTCAGATTAATAGCTTTCACCTCTGTTCTAATTCTATAGGTCTGTGTTTACCCTGGATTTGACTGAATTGCACTATGTAAATGTAAACATTTCTACCTCTATGGTGAAGAGCCATTTTAAAAGGGCCTGGATAGCACACAAGGGCTTGAGAAGAACACTGTGTGTTGGTGGGCACGGTTCATTGACAAAATGCAGAGGAATCTTCCATTGATTTTCCTAAACCAGTTTTCTCCTGTAAGCCCTGAGTGTTTTTCCTGCTCATGGTGATACCGTGGTTTGCACTTTAACTGTACTAAGTTCAACTTTATTCCTTGTAGCTAATTCCCTTGTCTGTTCAGTGAAGTGAAGTCGTGAATATTGGCTTAGTTTGCAAATTCATTTACTCGGGGAGTTGTTTTCATTACCCATTGCGCTTCCCACATCAGGATCTCCCTGCAGCTGGGTGGGTAGACCGCATTGGGGCCACTCACCCATCCCATCTGGCATGCTGCTGATGCCATAGGCTCCCCCATCTTGGGCGGAAGAAAGATTGGCCCGTTAGTGCTCAGAGTGGGCAAGGAAGCTTCGGGAAGAGCAGGCCATGTAATTGTAATGATTATACTAGATCTTAACTGACGCAAGCCTGTCCAATAGGATTTGGAATTGCACAGGCCTCCCTTGCTCCTGCATTGAAGGGCCTCAGTTATTCAGAGGACCTTGCTGGAGCAAGTGTATTCAGTAATAAACACTTAATAATCATTTACTATATACCCCAAACTGTGATACAAAAACAGGCTGTGCCCTCAAAAAGTTTACATTCTGCTCAGTATATCCTTACCAGTGGTAGTTGGGGCGGGGCGGGGCTGGGCAGGGGGGAATAGTTGATAAAGGGTAAGTTGCAAGTTTTTTGGAGTAAAACAATTGAAGTGACTTGTGAGTTTCAAACTAAAGGTCATACATAGGCTCATTAGTTATTCACCAAAAGAAAGTAAGTGGCCATGAGCAGGGCTTCTCTGGAATCTACCTAGCTTTATTTATTGTGAATTGTTTCTTGGCAAAGAGACTGGAGTGGTTTGCCATTTCCTTCTCCAGCTCATTTTACAGATGAGGAAACAGAGGCAAGATCACACAGCTAGCAAGTATCTGAGGCTGGATTTGAATCAGGTCTTCCTGTCTCCAGGCCCTCAGCTCTATCCACTGAGCAACTTAGGGGCCCAATACTTAGCTTATGGCTGAGAGTAAATAGAAATCAGTTTTAAGATTAAGGGTGAAGATTGAATTTCTATCATTTTCATACTATTTGTAACTAAGGTACAACCTCTATGACAACTTTTTTTTTTAAATCTACTAAAAATCTGCTTTTGGCCTTTCAAAAAACACTAATTTGTAAAGTTTTGGGTTTTTTAATCTTATTCACTGGCAGTGTAAAAGCTCACAACAAAAACAGAGAAAGGGAAATGTCAGCGTTTAATATGGTAGCACATTCTGGAGAATCACCTGGTTTTCTTTGGCCAGGGAGGTAGTTGAGCACCATGAAAAGTCTCAAGGGGAGCAGATTCAGGATAAATTGAAAAAAGGTGGTAGATCTTTATGGTATGTTAAAGGGTTTCCAATAGTAGATTAAACTGTTTGAAAGAAAAGAATCCATTCAATTCTGAGTGCTTCTGGTGACTACTGTGGAATATTTTGTGATTTAATGTCTTTTAAATCGTGAATTCTCTCTTTTATAATAAATATCTGGTGTGTGTGTGTGTGTGTTTCTGTGTTGTGGCTTTTCAATTCTCTGGTGCCTCTTGTGTATTCTTAGCATTTACTTCCTTGTTAGAGGGTGCACTGGACAGAAACTTCTGTTCTCTTCACTAAATTTGTTTGTGGGCATCACTTGGGATTTTACGTTTGATCTGGGCAGCTGCTGAAGATTTCTGAGCCAAGGAGTGACTTTTGCATTATGACAACAGAATGGATTGAAAATCGGCATCATGGTTGAATAAAAAGCATGTTGGATGGAGAGTCTGAAGAAACATGTCTGAGTGGAAGCCATCGGAACTCTGGTCAGTATGGACTCCAGAAGAGTGGCAGTGAATGACTGAGCCCTATCTGAAGGGAGGAGGCAAACGACAGGTGTTATGCCCGGTCTTCAGTTGATTAGTTTTGCTTAACTAAACTGTTCAATAAGGGAGACTCTTTGGGAAATGACAACAATGTAAAAATACCAATAAAACTTAATTTTTAAAGAGACTGTAGTCTGGGTCCTACTTGCTAGCTATGTGACAATAGGTTACATAGCTTCTTCGGAACTTCTCTTTCCTCATCTCTGAAATAGAGATGCTAATGCTTGCCAAACTTTACCTCATGGGAGGTAAGGTGTTTATCCACCTCGGATCTTGTAGAAGTGTGAATGATTGGTAGGCACTCCTTTTCACCTTTACCTCCCCCCCGTACTTGCAACTATGTGTACTTTAGACCGAGTTCTGTTTTCCCGTCCCATTGTGCCCTCTGGGCTCTCTGCTTCATTGTTGACAGATTCCCTTTAATCCTATTTCATCTCACACTTTTTCCATGTTCTGGGGCTCATGGAAAGCTGGCTACCTGCAGAAGATGTTGATTCCCTGCCAACCTTCTCTACTGGTCCTGAGTGGTCCTCGGGTCACTGGACCAAAAGGAGAAAGCGTATTCTTTTTGCCACTTTTTAAAAAACAACTTTATTTTTATTTTCAGTTAGAAATTCTCTTCACTCCTCTTCCATCAAGGTCACTGCCATTTTTCTTTTAGACTGTTCTTTTGCCACCATCCCTCAGTAGCGTCTTCTCTTAATATTCCTGTCCAAGTCTTTGTCACAGTCACTCCTTGAACTCGGTACCTTCCTGCTGAGCTGCTTACCTCGTGCTGGGTATTTTGGTGTCCCCGGGGCCCGCTGGCCTCTCCGTTCATCAGCCTCCTCACCTCCAGTGACCTGCATCATCACCACCCTCAGCCATTCTCGGGGATGGTAATGTCAAAGATATTCACCCTACCCGTAGCCATGCCACCTCTATGACCTTCACATGAAGTTCTGAAATTCTGCTCTGCCGTCATCCCACCTTACCTTTGCCTCATCTCCTAAACCTGGACTTTTGTCCTCATCTCGACCTTCACTTCACACCTCCCTCCCCTCCTGCTTCTGCCTCATGGCTTCGCCCAGTGGGTGACAGATTTGAGTATATACTGCCCTCTTCCCCAACCTCAGCTAAGAACATTGCCTCGTTCTGCAGAAGATACTGAGGCCATTTGCCATGAGCTCCCCTTTTTCTCTTCATCTCGTATTTTCCAGGTGCCTTTGACCGCTCGTCCTTCACCTGTCTGTCTCACATGAGGTACACCTTACAGCTGATCCCATTCTATCCTGGCTCCCCCATACATCACCTCCTCTGCCATCCCTGCTCTGTCACTTATTTTCAGTCCCCCTGTCTATTGGCTTATCGCCTCCTGCCTACAAACATGCTCACGTCTCTCCCAAACTGAACAAACCATGATCCATCCCCACTGTCGTCCTGTCTCTTAGCGAAACGGTCTTCAAAAGGCCGTCTGTAGCAGGTGCCTCCACTTTCCCTCCTCTCACTCGTTTCCAACTTTATCATTCCACTGAAATTGTTCTCTCCAAAATTACTAACAATCTCTTGATTGCCAGATCCAGTGGTCTTTTCTCAGTCCTCATTCTCCTTCACTTCATTCTCTCTGAAGTCTTTGACACTATTGACGATAGATACCCTCCTCTCCTGGTTCTCCCACCTCTCTGACCGCTCCTTCCCTCCCTCCTTTGCTGGATCCTCCTCCAGAACATGCCCTATAACCATAGGTGTCCCTCGGGGTTCTGTCCTGGGCGCTCTGTAGTACTTCCTCTGTAGTATTTGATGGTTCCATCAGCTCGCATACATTTAATTACCATCTGCTGTTGATTCTCACATCCACCTTTTCCTGCCCCAATCTCTCTGCCCACCTCCATTCTCACATTTCCAAATGCCTTTCAAACATCTCCAAATGGCTGTCCAGTGGACATCTTAAACCCGATATGCTCAAAACGGAACTCCTTATCTTTTCTCCTACAGCCACTTTCCCTATTATCATTAAGGCAACACCATCCTTCTAGTCCCTGGGAGTCATCCTGGATTCCTTATCTCTTACCCCTCTCCTCCCCATATCCAAACTTGCCAAGGCCTGCCTATTTCACCTCAGCAGCATCTCTCAAACATGTCCCCTTCTTTCCTCTGACACTGCCATCCCACTGGTGCAGACCCATCATCACCTCATACCTGGACTATTACAATAGCTGCTGCTGGGTCTGCCTCCTCAGCTTTCCACTCCAATCCAGCCTCCGTTCAACCATCAAAGTTTCCTAAAGTCTGGGTCCCATTATGTCACCCTCTTACTCAGTAAACTCCAGTGACTTCCTGTGGCCGCCAGGAGCAGCTACAATATGATCTGTTGGTCTTCAAAGCCCTTCCTAACCCGTCCCCTCCTACTTTTCTTATCTTCCTCTACCTTACTCCTCCACACGTACTGTGATCCAGTGATACTGGCCTCCTGGCTGTTCCCTAACAAGACCTTCCATCTCCTGCCTCTGAGCTTTTTCTCTGGCTGTCCCCCATGCCTAGTACACTATCCCTCATTCCCATCTGGCTTCCTTCGAGTCCCAGCTTAAATCCTACCTACAGGAAACTTTCTTCAACTTCCTCAATTTCAGTGCCTTTCCTGTTCATTATTTCCCATTCATCCCGCACATAGCTTGCTTGTACAAGTGGGTTTGCTTATAGTCTCCTCAATTGTGAGCTTCCTGAGGGCAGGGACTGTCTTTTGCCTCTTTTTTGTATCCCCTGTGCTTAGCACTGTGCCTGGCACGTAGTAGGCACCTAATGAATGTTTATTGACCGAGTCAGGAGATAAAGAACGTCCAGCAGAGGGAACAGCATTGCAGGCCAGTGTCCCTGGATTGAAGAGTACAGTGGCGTCTGATGTGTAAGATGACTGGGAAAGTAGGAAGGGCTAGATTGTGAAGGGCTTTAAAAGCCAAACAGGATTTTGTATTTGATCCTGAGGTAATGGGGAGCCATTGACGTTTATTGAGTAGGGGTTTGACATGGTCCAGTGCGCTTTGGGAAGATCACTTTGGTCGCTGAATGGGGGAGTTTGGAGTGAAGGAGGGAGGGAAGACTATTGCCCTAGTACAGATGTGACAGGAGAGGACCTGCACCAGGGTGTGGCAGTGTCAGAGGAGAAGGGCCTGTAGGAGAGGTGGTGTAAGAATTGATGGGATTTGGTGATGGATTGGGAGGAGTCCAGGATGGCGCCCGGGGTTACCAGTGAGCTTGGGTGACTGAGAGCTTGGTGATCCTCACCACTGTAATAGGGAAATCCGGGAGAAGGGAGAGTTTGGGGGGAAAATAAATTCTGTTTGGGGCATAGTGAGTTTGAGATGTCCCATACCAGACATCTGTTAGGCAGAACATGTGAGACTGAAGGTCAACAGAGGTTAGGGCTGGATAATCGTCTGAGCACCCTCTGCATTGAGATGATAATTGAACCCTCTCCAAGTGAGGTAGTACAGAGGGAGAAGAACAGAGGGCCATGGACAGAGCCGTGGGTGGAATGATTGCAATGGCCCCTGATTAGTCTAACCACTTCCAGTGGCCCTTCTCAGCCATTAGTATTCCTAAAACATGGGTCTGGTCCTGTTACTTAAGCCTGGCGTTGGAAGCCCTTTGGAATCTGGCTGTCTTTCAAAGAGAGTGAGGTTATTCTCAGGACCGCTACCGCTCACTCCCACCTACTTGTCCCCATTCATTTCCCATTATCCATCCCAAGTGATCTGCGATCCAGATCTGCCTCCTTTCCAACCTGTCATCTCCCCTGTTTAGCCTCAATGGCCCCACCTCATCTCCGCTTAGAATCCTCAGCTTCGTTCGAGCCAGGCTAGCATAGCCACTCCATGCCTAGGCTGTCCTGACCCACAAGTCTGGCTTGGCTTATTTCCATGGGGCAGGAAGATGGACCCGTGATTTCACTGATCTAGACAGGGTTTCTTAAACTTTGTCCGCTCAAGACCCTTTCAGAGCTTCTTAAACTATTACTCCTGACCCACATCAAATGGGTAGATTCTAGGTACTCCGAGAGCCCTAGATCAATGAAATCACAGTCAAATCTGGCCTAAGACACTTAACTAAGCTGTGGGACCCTTGCGAGTCACTTCACCCTGTTTGTCTCAGTTTCCTCATCTGTAAAATAAGCTGGAGAGATACTCCAGTATCTCTGCCAACCACACCTGAAATGGGGTCATGAAGAGTCAGACGTGACTGAAAAACAACTACACCGTGACAACTCCTAGAAAGCCAATTCCTTTTGCCAATCTAAGTCAGGGTTTGCTCTGCTGCTTTCAGTTTGAAGAGTATTTCCAGGGGCCACTGAGAAGGCCAAGCAAGCATTTGAGAGCGTCACATAGCCAGAATGTCAGGGGTGAGACTTGACTGGCCAGCTCTTTGTGACCGTCTTCTGTTCTCTGTGCTAGCGATGCCAAACGTAAATAAAGGAAACATTGTTAAATGAGATAATGTCTGTAAAGCACTTAGCACAATGCCTGGCACCCAGTAGGTGCTGTATAAGTGCTTATTTCCTTCCTCCCCAGATAGAAAAGGGGGGGCAGTGATCTGTTCATGAGGGTCCCATATTGACCCAGTTTTAAGATGTAAAGTTATCTATGTGTACTTTGTTAAATATTTCCCAATTATTTAGTATTCTAGTCAGCTGCACTCGCATGTGTTTGACATCTGTACCACAAGGTGGAGACAGGCTACTTCTCACCATACGGTTCCATTCATAGACCCACTTCTTTTGGGCATTCATTCTCCAATTACTGGACAGGTAAGTTGGTTGGTGTTTTTTGTTTGTTTCTCTATTACAAATACATTTAGGAAACACAGTGGGTGCTCCTCATTTGGGAAATGGCGAAACAGATTATGTACATTAATATGAGGGATTATTATTGTTGGGCTGTTGTTTTGTTCAGTTGTGTCCAATTCTTTGTGAACCCATTTGGGGGTTTTCTTGGCAAAGATAATGGAGTGGTTTGCCATTTCCTTCTCCAGCTCATTTTACAGTTGAGGAAACTGAGGCCAGCGGGGGAAAGTGACTTGCCCAGGGTCACACAGCTAGTGTCTGCAGCTGGATTTGAACTCAGGAAGAGTCTTCCTGACTCCAGGCTCAGCACTATATCCACTGCACACCTCACTGCCCCATTGCTGTGCTTCAAAAAATGACAAATGAATTCAGAGAATCACAGACTACAGAGCTGAATATAGAGCCCAGTTGCTCCCTAGTCCAACCTCTTTATACCTCAAAGGAAACTCTATTGTGACATACCCAACGAGGAGTCATTTGGCTTCTTCTTGAGGAAAGCCCCAAGGCAGCCCACTACACCTTTGGACAGCTCTAAATCTTGACATCAAGCCTATTTTTTTTTTTTTTTTTGCCATTCCATCCTTTGTTCACGGTTCTGCCTTCTGGACAAATATGCCCATTTCCGTCAGTCTTGAGCAACCAGCCATTGTCAGGATGATGGGCAACGTCACTATTCTGGTTACCCTCCTCTGGATTCTCCAGCTACCAATGGCCTTAAATTGTGGTACCTGGCACTGAACGCCCTTTGAGGACTACTCCAGGCCAGGCACCAGAAGGACTATCCTCTCTTTATTCTTGGAATCGCCGCTCCTTAATATAGAAACATACAAAGATTTAGATGAACGAGGCAGTGAAGAAAGCGGAGCCCAAAGAGCGATATGTGACTTCAGTGACGTCCCTGAAAACAACGCTCAGAAGTATCTGATCTCAGATGACAGGAGATGGCCACTTTTTGTTTAGAATTGCAGTTGAATGAAACAAACTCCCCTTTCATGGGAGAGAAGCGAGTGACCATAAGTGTAAAAGCCATATCCTGTCGGAAATGGCCACTGTCTTGGTGGGATTTGCTTGTTTGCTTTTGTGGTAAGAAAAGATTCTAAAGGAGATGTATTAAGAAACACTAGTAAAACTTTTAAAACAAACCCCTCCTGAATGAATATTTTTGTAGTTGGGGCGTTTTAAAAATATTTTAAGGTAGAATACTATTGCGGCCCGGAGTAAGGAAGACTCAGCTTCCCGAGGTCAAATCAGACACTTAGACAGATCAGACCCTCATAAGTTGTCTGATCCTGAGCAAGTCACTTCACCCTGTTTGCCTGTTTCCTCATCTGTGAAATGAGCTGGAGAAGGAAATGGCAAACCACTCCAACATCTTTCCCAAGAAAATCCTAAATGGGGTCACGGAGAGTCAGACATGACTGAAAAATAGCCAAAGAGCAAAGTGGAATTAGTAAAAAATTCCTATTGACTCTAGGCAGGATTCATTGTGCATTCTCAGATTCATCTCTGAGATGATATCCAGTTTACTGCCCTATCAAAAATGGGCCAGAAGTGCCTGGTTTCCCAATAGTCCTACCAAGATGGAATTCTTTTGGACTTTTTTTTGGAATGTTGTTTTTGTGATTGTCATTTTCCTTTGTCAGGTTGTGGAATTTGAGAATCTTTTCACGTGGTTGTATCTTACCCCCCAGTTTTTTTTTTTGGTCAGGTCCAATGCTCTAGTTTCTGAAATATTAAGTTAAGTCCTATAATTGGAAAAGGCCTCATCCAACATCCAGAAATCTCTTCTAAGTCCCTGACAAATGTTCCTCCAAACCATGTGAACCTCCCCAGGAAAACACTACCTAATGAGGGCCCCGTCCTTGTCCATGAGAGTGCTGTGGGTGCCCAGGGATGTAATCACCATGAGAAGACTCAAAAGAACAAACTCAAGGAATTTACCTTCTAGTTGGTGGGTTAAGCCGACAGAGGAGACTAGTGAGAATAGTCATCTCTGGGGTGTAACGGCTGCAGAAAACTTCGGACAAAGTGGGGCTTGAACTGGACCCGAGGGAGGTCCTGAGGGCACCCCCGGAAAGGGAAAAGTGGTTTCAGGACAAGTGAGGCGGCTGCCAGGCAACCAGCAGTAACACAGAATACTGTTCCTACTAAGCACACAGAATTCAGAACTTTACGAATCCTTAAAGCAGGAAGCAACTGTCTCTTTAAACTCTGCTCTTCTCACTGAGTTCCACAAATGGCTGAGATGTTAATGAGTGGAAATTGTCACACTAAGCGCTAAGAGAGAAAGTGCAAAGAACAGCGTCCTGAACATCTTTTGTTTTTCTATTTTCATGTTAATTGTAGTCCAGAAAACCTTATATTTAAAAAAGAAAATACATACACATATAAAACCATCGTTAAAATAACTGCTTTATAGACATAGGTTAATAAAATATTATGTACAGCGAGCTTCATTTTAAATGCCTACAATAAAATTATAATAACTTACTGATTTTTTTGACATGTCAAATTAAACGAACCAGGGCTAGAGCACTCTTAACACTGCATTTATTTGTTTTTTTTTTTTTTAAACAAAAATGCTTTTGTAGGAATGTTTCATTAGAAACTTGGTGCTATAAAAATAAAGCTATAAACAAGTATACAATTTTACATAAGCTGTAACATATATACAAATTATGTACATGTTTAAAAATCTTAAAACCACATTTTCCATGATTCCCAACATGCCTGAGAAAACAACAAAAGCAGAAAAGCACCCCCCCCCCCCCCATGAACACTTTCACTTCACAACACATACATAAATACAGAGACGTAATGGTGGGGGCATCAAGCAACTGCCTAAGAAACGGGCACGTTTCCTTCTGACTTTGCAGCCTCGTTTAAATACAAGCATTGCAGTCACATTAAAATCCTCTTCTGGAAAGGCCGCCTGGAGTGGCTGTACTGAGATGAATAAAATCACTTCCTTTCAAGCCAACAAAAAGTCATTTATTGAACAGATATCATCCAAAAGAACTCTTTTAATCAGCGGGGACCAGGAGCTGGATTAGCAAACATCACCAGGATGGAAGACAGACACTGTAATTTCTCCTTGATGTATTCTGGTAATTTTTCATTTTCCCCATATCTAGGTGAGGCAAGAAAGGTGAAGAAAAGATGATGTCATTGTCTCAGTTTGCTTATTAGAATTATGCCATACACTGAAAGCTATCACACTTTCCTCATAATTCTATTACAAGAAGTCACTATAGGAAACATTAACGATTAAAAAACATTAAGACTAATTTTATACAGTAAACCTGAGTACAGTACAAACCAGACATGTTTCCATTTTCTGTTTCCTTTTTCTATAGACCTGATATACTGAAATGGTACTTCAAGGTTCTGTTCTTTCCTTAGCGTGGATCTTTCTTTCACCAAGACAGATCACAACCCTTCTTCAAACATAATCTGGGAACTGTTGTGACCAATCTGGTGGTGAGGCCCTATAAATGTAGCGAGGCTGGTCCTCAGAAGACACACATTCTTATCACTGAGGATATGTTGAAACTTCTTTTGAGAACCTAAGGTCACCTCCAGACCATAAGGATTTTAGTGCCATTTACTAAGTAAGGAGAAAAAAAATCTAAGAATTTTTACTGTTTCTGAAATAGACTGAAAATCTGGTTTTACAAAACTCTCTAATCACAAATTATTAAGTTGGAGACTCTTCTTTGAAAGAAAATTCATCGTATGTTCTACTAAAATGTTACCACACTAAATTCAATTTTTTATAGTAGCGGGATTTTTGTATTTCACTAAAATCCCCTCAAACTTTCTCAGAAAGAGAAGCTAATGGCACCAGGCACGCATACCGAGTAAACTCCACACCGACACAGTCCATTGTGGAAGCGCATCCTCCCCCTCCCTGAGCCACAGCTCTTTTACAGGTATGGCTCAACGTAAACGTGATGGAATACTAGTGCGCTGACCTCTCCTCAGCGTAACGACCCACTAGGATTACAGGGGACACCGGTCACCGCCCACCTGACGAGAGAGTTTCCTAAAAGGCTTGTGGTGCACGGCCAATGTGTTTGAACTGACTGTACTTGTTTGGGATGGGTTCTGTTTTTCTCATGTTTTCAGTTGGGGTGAGGGTTGGGAGTAGGGGCTGCAGAGTTGGGGATGGAGGGTAAGAAGGTGGATCTGGGCTGATCAGACGATTAAAAAAAGCCCCACAGGTTTTGGGTCAAGAATGTGATTATGGTAGCAGGTAAACACAAGATGCTACACATCTGCTCGTCATCCAGAAAGGCTCTAAATTTCATAGGCTTACGAGATTACCTCTCTCCAGGGATACCAATACCCCCTATTCAATGTAATGGACAATTAGCTAATGAGCTATTACTACATATTTATCATTCAGTACAAAGTCTCCCAAATATTTTCTAGTAATGGTGACTTACAAAGCAGAAATTTGCTTAGAGTTTTGCTTACCATCAAAATACAATTTTCTTCTACTTAACAATAAGGTTTAAAACTTGAAAAAACGGACAGCTTGTTTTCTGCCATTATATTCTTCTCAAACATATTAGGGAGAACTCCAACATAAAGATGGAAACTTGCAGGTAGTACTTTAATTCACAAAGTCCTTTTAACTATTTTCTCTCTTGGAAAAGAGCATATTTATTTAAATCTTTATGCCTGATTACAGAATTACAGTATTAGAAGGCAATCAGGTCAACTCCTGAATCAGAGTCACTATGGCTTGATTTTATTTTCAGTCTCTCAAGTATAAAATTTAAACCTGGTCTATCAATTCCTGGAATATGGTCATGTGTCTAAGGCTACAGAAATAAATCGGCAGCAAAAAAACCCAACCAGGAAGAGCAGAGTAGCCAAATCTTTGCATTAATGTTTGAGAAAACATACACATGAGAAAAGACATTATGCTGATATAGAGTTGATTAATGAATGACAGCCTTCAAAATTAAAAGGACAATTTTATTCAATGTAATGTGGATAGAAAACAGGATAATTGAGAAGCATCTAGAACTTAGCAGTACCTCAGTGACTCACCTGGTTGTCTGGCCATTTGGTGACGTGTAAGTGATGGAGGGCACTCCGGCCTGAACCACCAACTGGGATCCATCATTGAACTGAACCCAAACAGCTCCACTGGTTAACTGGGAACAAGTGTTCAATATTATTCAGTACACAAGACCTTTAGGATTATATTTACATCTTTGATAGTGGTATTTAGCAGTACAATTATACATGAATATAGTAGAAACACACGGCGCCCAGGTGACAAAACAGAAAACTCAGAAAAGTATTTTGTGTTGAATGCTCTCATCTCCTGAAGGACTCCTTTAAAACTCCAAGATTAGGGTACTTTAAATTGTAAAAAGTCAAGGCCAAAGACTAATCTCTATCTAGGATCCTTAGAATTCTAGTAGACTGAAAAAGGTAGGGAAAAGACCTCTTTCTCACCCTCTCCTCTTACATCTACAATATTCAAATGCTAGGTGAAACCGAAAGGATTTTGTTGCTGTAGAGTGGGGATTTAGTATATGCATGAACCAAACACACACTGAACTTCTTAATAAGATTTCTGATTTTTAAAAAAAGTACCATTTCTCATAAAGAAAATGTCAGAAGGACTTAATCTTTTAGGGGAAAAGGGTGTTTTTCGGTAAAGTATGTAATTATAATGTGAAACCAAAAATTTATAATATTTATAAATTTATGATAATGAGAAAGAAATATTTTAAAAATCACTCTCCTGTTTGCTAAGTGCTCACCTGTGTAGCCCAACCAACATTTTTCACGAAAACAGACTTCAGAAGCTGGGCTGATTTTGGAAGATAATCCTTTGGGCTGGTAGAAGACCCTTCTGTTTCAGGCACAGCTGCTGTTATCCCAGATTCTTCATATGAAACAATCTAGAAACAGATAAAAGAAAGACTGCTAGTACTATTTTTAGAATATTATGACCTACTACACACTTTTATGTACAACCTTTAGCCATCATGGTGGGTCTTTATCAATCTAAAGCCACTTCAGCACAATTTTCTAATGCTACTGAAAACTCAAAACATAGCCACATTTTTACTTCTGGATAAGTTCTTCAAAGTGGTGGTATGCTTTGACATGTCAGGTACATTATTTTGTTCCAGAAGATTTAAGTAGTTGCTACAGGGGCAAATATCTGAATATTCTCAATGTTCAATGAATCTACCAGCAGAAATGGACCTGATTTTTAAAAGCATAATTTTTTGTATATATATATGTATATATATATAAGGCCTTCAATGGTAGCTTTAATGTTAATTTTTTTTCATTTCACATCTAATTATTCAATAAATGTTTAAACAAAATAGTATCAAAGTTAAATACTCTCATCTCCTGTTATAAAATAAAAATCTTTTGTAAAAGATCACTGTCATCCCATTTTCCTGTGGTGTGCTGGTAAATGCTTAGCTCTCCAGGAAAAAAATAATTGTGCACATGACACTTTTGAGTTTAATCTGCATTATTTACATTTTCTGTTGCTTTCTTAAGTGTAAACAATCAAGAATACAATAAAGTAAGCCCAGATTCCTGAGGTGTAAATGCTCACACTGGGAATTTCCCAATCTACTTTTCACGAGCCAGGATGAGCCAACCTCAGCACAGCCGTGGTGGCAGCCAACTACTGATTTTTACAAAGATGATCAGCCAGGCTGACTATCAGCTCTCAAGAAGTCTGTCACACTTGTACTTCTATTGCACAGTTTAAGAATACTGACTTAGGGGCAGCTAGGTGGCGCAGTGGATACAGCATCGGCCCTGGATTCAGGAGGACCTGAATTCAAATCCAGCCTCAGACCAAACACTTGACACTTACTAGCTGTGTGACCCTGGGCAAGTCACTTAACCCCAATTGCCTAAAAGAAAAAAAAAAAGAATACCGACTTACTGAAGGACTAGTGGGAGTTGCCTGGGGTGAAGCCGCTGAGTTGCTCGCCATCCCCCGATTTAATGATGCCGTATCTGGATCCACGCAAGTCGGAGGGGCCACAGCCTGGGGGGAACTGGGGTTGCCTGGCTTTCTGAAGAGAAAAAAAAAAGTTTTCCAAGTAAACATTTCCCCCCAAAACACTTTGCTCACCTGAAAAATCAAACTGTCAACTACTTTCCTGAGATAGGGACATTTCTGTTAAATTAACTTAAAAGAACAACGTTTTTAAGAAAAGAGGGCTCATTTTGTAAAACTCCACGTACCTTCCAATAATTATAGGAAAGAAGGGAACGCTTCCATTTTTTGTTTCTTCTACTGCAATAACAGACTCGAGTGCAAGGCATACACGATGTCCCTGTTTAAAAACAAAGAACTTCTGTCACTCCTTTGCCAGTGCTAAGAATGGGGTTATAAAAGGGCAAACAGACAAGCAGATCCGTACCTCATTAGCATGATCGACATACACTTTTATTTCTTCTTTCAAGCTACCAAGTTCAGTTCCTTCTTTCAAAGCGTACACTTTCCCAGATTTTTCAATCACATTAATTATGTCTTCTGTTTTGTGTATTTTTGCTCCTAAAAGAATAAACTTTTTAAAGCCACTTTTCAAAGAATTACAAGATTTTTTTCATTGAAAGATCGCATACAATTTTGCCCCCAGGAAAATACATCATTTATTTCCTGCTGGTCAGACTGTTAAAGCTCACTGCATCTTACTATCCATTTTTTTTTTCCAACAGATATATCCAGTCATATTTGGATGGCCATGGTGCTGCGTGGGTGAATCTACCAAGCGCCAGGAACCATGCCAGCAGAGGACAAATTCTACCAAGTCTTACCAAAGAGGAAGCTTTCAGCACAGGTCCACTGAGGTACCGGATGTATGTCATCCAAACAAACATTATCCTAGGCAAGTCTGGAGACAGAGACAGGGACTGAACTTGGGATTTCACTGTTACGGGGAACTCCCAGGTGAGCAAACTCCCTCTACCAATGCAGGCTGGCAACTTCACTTTAAAGAGTAGTAGTAGTAGTAGTAGTAGTAGTGGTATCAAACTCAAACAGAAACAGATTCTTGCAGGCGACAGATTGACTTTGGAAGCCATGAATTAACATTATACATACTGTGCTGTATTTTTATTTATTTTATTAAACATTTCTCAATTACATTTTCCTCTGGCTCCCACCACACTCAGGTTCTGTGGGAGCTATGCAGGTTTAATACCTCCCATCCACAGAACACACAGAGTTGAAACAACTCGCCCAGCGCCACGTGGCCAGCAAGTATGGAGATAGTCATGACCAAAATGGATGAAAGGGGATCAAGCTTTCAGGCCCCGCACTTCTCCTAAACTGCTGATTAGAGGGGCTGCTATCTGCTATCACTGGAGAAAGTATCCACCATCCACAAAGCTGTCTCTCTTCTAAGCACTGTGGTGTATGTACAGCTACCTGTTCCTACTATGTATAAGATGGGTAACCACCTCAAACGATGGATGTGGTCTGTGAAAGATATCTGTTAAGATCCCTGCACAAATTTTGTTTGAGAGAAAAGGCCACAAGGAGACTTAAATTGAATGAAATGCACACATATAAATTAAGGGAAAATTTAAAATGTCTATGCAGACCACATGATATTTTTTCAGGATCTGACATATTTCTATTTACAGTTATGCTTTCCACACTGAGGGAGATAGGGGCGTGGCATCCCCACGATCTGGAAAATCTGCATAACATTTTCTGGCCCTCCCTCTGTACCAGAGAAGAAGTCTGAATTTTTTCTTTTTCTTTTATGGAGTGCTTATAGTATCTTATTATAAAATTTGAGTTGATATTATATCATACTACACATATATTTTATGCATTTCTGAATTTCTAAACTTTTTTTTGGTGTCATTTGTGACTTCTGCAAAACTCCCCCCAAATTCCCACTTAATTTCTTATGCTGACCCTCCTTATATCGAAACCATGATGGGGAAAGTCATGGGAAGGGATAACTGTGTTTCTACATCAAAAGCAAAAAACGGGACTTCATTTACCTCTCTCCTGTCAAGAGTCAGTAAATCCCACCCCATACATGACTTGGCACATGTTTGGTACAAGCTGTATGTACAGCAAATTGCATTATAATGGGTTCTGCTATATTTCATAACATAATAAACAGGTATAGTCCCTGAAGGAAACAGTATCATTCCTTTTAGGTGAGCGCTTACCATCATAAAACCAAACTTCAAAATCAGCATGAGGGGAATTCTCCATCAAAATGCATTTAGCATACTTTGAAAAAAAAGTGATTTTGGGTGTTTTAGACCTTACAAGCTGTACAAATCTGGAAGCATACTGATACTTTCTCCAGTATTTTTCTGTAGGGACAAAGGGAGAAGAAAGGAATGTCAACATTGTGCATTGATTACTGGGAGAAATACCGATGGAATGAAAAACAGCATCTGCAAAAAGTCTTGCAATTTCACAGTTATTCCTGCTATTCTTTAAACATTCAAGTTCAGAGGTTAGTATATGCATCACATAAAACACAAATTTTCTGTTAAACAAAACATTCCTAAGTGCACTAATAGGAAACAAGGTGAAATATTGCAATGCACAATAACATTCCAAAGCAGCTACTGACTGAACTGGCAGTCTTTTAAGTGTCAAAGGTAATGTGGAATCTGTATTATACAATTCTACTAAAGAATACATCCTTACATCAGTTTTTATATTGCAAATAAAGAGGCACTGGGCCAAGGATCATTTTAACACTTCATTGTTCACGATCCCCAGCAAACGTGTGTCCTTGAAGCCCTCCAACAGCACACCTCACTATCAACATCAAGGGACAGCTCTCACCCTCAGGACATTCCTTCTCTGGGTTGACTCATCTCCCTCTAAATTCCACCCATAGCCTCAGTTCTGCTCTCCGGGGCCAAAGAAAATCGACCTAATTCCTCACCAAAAGACAGCAAATTCATGCCCCCAAGTCTCTTCTTTTTAAGGCTAAACATTCCCTAGTGCCTCCAGCTCATCTTCATGTGGCAGTTTCCAGCCTTTTCAATAAATCTACTTCTCAGTTTTGAGAAGTTAACCTTTTCTGACAAAATCTGACTCTTGAGCACTGAAAAGGCACATTACTCGAACAACTGAAATTGGGAGCCTACTATTAGTTAATATTTACGTGATACTCATGTAGCAGAAAAATACTGACAATCAGAAACATGGTATAAAGCAAATTTCTTCCCATCACTTGACTTGACCTGGCTATGATAAAAATTAGCCAAAGACATACAACATGACAATGTGTATATGTGTTTAATCACTGTAAATATAAACCTTATTTTTAAAATATATGTATATGCACATTTTAAAAATAAATTTTGTGATAATTTTTTTTACCGCAGTCATTTTCAGATATGACTCTCAGATTACTCTACAGTAATGAACCCAACTTTATAACAAAGCAAAAGCTAAGCATAATCAACCATTACCATGATCCTGGTTGATCGTGTAGGTAATACTCTTTCCCTTTACCAAGAGAAGGAAGGCAAGTTCTCCAGAACCAAGTCTAATCATTACAACTACTAAGAATTTATACAAGTTAAATTTTTTTCATGGAATGTTACCACATTCTCTTTAGAATCAATTTTTAATTAGTGAAAAAAAAATCCAATTACAAAGACCACCACCAACAGAAGTGAGATAAGACACATTATGTATCCCAGCCATGTCTACAGTAGAGAAAAAGTTTTACTTATACACACAAACACACACACACACACACACACACACAAAATCAACATTATGTAGCAAAAAGATTCCTGAACCTGGCAGTTGTGCGAAACCTGAGTTCAAATCCTACTGGGCACAACAGTGAGACCCTGGGAGCTACTCACTGAACCTCTCTGAGCCTGCTTCCTCATCTGTGAAATGGGGATAATACTACTCACACCTATCTGACAGAACTACTATGATGATCTAATGAGATAATTTAAGTAAAAGTACTTTACAAATCTTACGGAGCTATAGAAATGTGAGCAACTATTATAATTGTTGTTTCTTTTACTAAACTTTGTAACCTGCTATATCTACTCAGCAAAGGTATTTCAGAAAAAAATGACGTACCTGGTAAAGAATCAAAGCTATACCTAGACACGTCTTTGGGAGGAGGGAATGGTCTATTATCAAGAGGGAAACCTTTTCCATCATTTGGATAATAAATTGTGATCTGTGAAAATAAAAACCAGAATTTCACACTGTTAATCAAGAGACTATTTACGTTCTAACTAAAGGCTATGAAACTGACACAACCTGTGTCCTGGTTGTGCCTGCTTCTACTATGACTAATATTACACGGACTCCAGAAGGACCCTTTCTACAATTAAGTGCTTTTATTGATAAACTGATGCAATAAATTATACAAAAATAAACAAGTCAGTTAATCCTACATAACCAACCATATCTGAATATAGTCACAATGGCTTAAGAGTGACTGCAGCAGATAGTGCAGGCAGCCTCACTCTTCAAAGTAGTTTAGTATTTGTTAAAAGATAATACGGGTGGGTGGTCTATCTCCAGTAAGTCAGGACCATCATGATCCACTGCTTTTGTTCAGAGTTTATTTGCTGTTTAATTTTAACTTCAATATACATTAAGACAAACTTAGACTTACTCAATTAGATCGCACAAGGATTTAGAAAAATTCTAGAATAAATGTATTTCCAGAAGCCTTGGCATCCCACAGAACAAATCAAATGAGGAAACTCAAGAGGAAAAAGTGTTTTTTAAGACACCCCTGCAGCTTCCCACCGCAAAGCTCCCCCCCAACCGAGCAAACGGCTAAGTAGCAAAGACAGCGGGCTTTACCGAATTTCCATCGCTGGAAACTTGAAGAATTTCTTTCACATAGTCGTGGGAGGCCACCTCCTTCAGCAGCTCCACACACACTTCTTCTGTATCAAGGATACTCACCTAAAAACGAGAATCAAAAGCATTTCTTTGCGGCTTACTGGGAGTGCCATATGTACTTTATAAAGTTACACAACAGAGAAATTCAACCTCGGCTTCACCTTACCATGGGAGGTGAAAACATTAATGCCAAACTCATCTCTATGTGCAGCTGCTTCCTCGCTCCCTGTGTTAGCCTGTGTGCGCGGGGGAACCAACCCTTTAAAAGAGGCGGCAGGACTGAGCACGTGCACCCAGCTGTGAGAGAGCCCGTGAGAAAGGCGGCGGCAGAAGGGGAGGTGGGGGAAAGAGAACAAAAAAAGAAGAGCAAACCCAACAAAGCAACCGGAAACAAAGAAGGCAGAAGAGAGGATGAGACAGAGAAAACAAAGGGATCCTGACTGACGTACACTACTAATTAGAAGAAAAAAAGTTCAGAATTTTAGTAGCCAAAATCCCAAAATGAAGTTTTGTTCATCTAAGATGACTTTTTTTATACTTTTTTAAAATAAGCTTTAAGTAACATATAATATGCAAGTTCCCCAAAAGTTAAGTGGTCCAAAGATATGAAGAGTTTTTAAAAGAAGGAATGAAAATTATTAACCATCCAAGGAGGAAAAGCAGCCAAAATCATTGAAATAAAAGTGCAAAATAAAACAACTCTTGAAGTTTCACATTGCACCAAGCAACCTGGCAATGATAAAAGACTGGAAAGGTCAACACTAAAGAAACCACAAGAGTCTGGCACGTCAATATACTGTTGATGGCGTTACAAACTGATCGGCTCTTTTGGAAATCAATTTGTAACTACTAAAGAAAAGTGACTAACGTGTCCATAACCTTTGACACAGACATAGAGCTATTTGGTGTATGCTAACGAAACCAAAGACAGAGGAAAAGTTTCCATTTCTAGCAAGATATTCATGGCAACATTTCTTGAGCTAGGAAATGAAGTGGATGCCCACTGACTGGGGACTGGTTAAGCAAACTGTGATTTAAGGAAACATGAACATCATGGAATATCATTCAACTGCTATTTAAAAAAAAAGACAAGTATGAAAAATGTAGAGCAATTTGGAAAGGTCTAGAAATAAACTGATGCAGAACAAAGAAAGCAGGATCAATGTACACAATGACCACTACAAAAAGATAACAGCATTCCCATGAACCTAATGACCAATCCTGATCCCAAACAACTGAGTCTGAACCACTTTCCTTTATAGGAAGGCGGACAGAAGTACAGACCTACAACTGGAACAGCCCTGAGAAGTCATTCACCTAGTGCAACCCCTGTTGGAGGTTCTGCAGTTTTTCAGATGAGGAAACTGAGGCTCAGGGAGGGCAATTTGCCCAAGGTCACGTAAGTCAAAAATGGCACAGCTAGTATTGAAATTCAGGTCCTTTGATTCCAAATCTAATACGTTCCATTGCATGACACTGAAACACTGTGACCATCCAGATGGACTACAGGTATAGGACGCCACAGACATGCTCATGCTCACTGGACATGGTCTATGGTTTGCTTTGTTTATCTCTTTCTTTGTTAGATGGGACGATTCTAGGAGGGAGTGAATTGGGAAACAACAGTGATATTTAACAAAAGCATAAATTTTATGACTAATGTGAAAATATGTTTAATGTGAATGTATATGTACAGTCTATATCAGATCGCACACCGTCTTGGGGAGGGAGGCGGAGAAAATTTAGAACTCAGAATCTTATGGAAATGAATGCTGAAAACTAAAAACAAATTAATCAATTTTTAAAAAGCATTAAATTTAACTCAAAAGTCTGATATTATTATAAGATGAAATGGTTCTTTTGATTTCAAAAATAAACTAACACCCAGCACATTACGTCTGGTATTTCAGAAGCTTTTCAGCGTAATCAGAGTCATCTCTGGCAGCAACTGGTGCTTCATACATGCTTGTGGAACTGCATTTGAAAATTTTACACTTCCCATGGCCAGCTGACAGCCCAAGTCTAAACTACCCAAGAAGCAGAACCACTGTTTCGTTAAGTGTCTCCTTCATCACCACCATCTCTACGCGCTGGAGAAGGAGCAGCAGTGACTGTAACTAGACCCAGAGTAAGAGAAAGGCAGAGCTGTCACAGACAAACGTCATCAAGATATAAAAAAGCATCACTAACAACGTGTTCAATGAGACACGGTGTCAGTCTTTGATTTTGCTCTTTCAGCTAATGAACGCATACTTAGAACACGAAGACGTACCACTGCTTTTTTCGTTTTCTGCCTGATGGGCTTTAGCCTCCGGGCATTCAAAGGGGAGGTCACGCTCCGCAATGTAGGCTTCTGGTGGCCCAGCTGGGGTTCCATGCCCCTAGACTTGCTTGGTTCAGAAAGAGGATGGGGGCCAAACACAGGGGCTGGCTGAATGACTTCAGGTTCACGGTGATACGCAGGCATGTATTTCACGGCATGTGGCTGTCTGACACAACGTGCGTTGTCGGAAGCATCTGTATCCCTGTTAGCCATCCTGTCAGTCCATGCATTTCTCCTGGTGTCCTGCAAATCTGGATGACCCTGGACATTTCTGCTCGAGTTAATGCTGATGTGAGCAGAGGGCTCTCTTAACTGGGCTTAACAAAACCACACACAATAAAAGAGTTAATACAAAACTGTTTTAAGTTTATGGAAAAAAGCGGTACAGTATATGCACTGTTGGGGCTTAAAAATGTTGCTGCAATCAATGGAATTTTAAAAATAATTCTTATACAAGGACTCAATAGTTTTCAAATTAGGTAGATCTTAGAGTATTTCTTAAAATGAATGATCAGAACCATCTCCCTCATGGCACACTAGGGTCAATCTTTCAAAGTTTATTTAAAACCTTCACTGTATTTTTTAAAATATCATATTATAGGTTGGGATTTTTCTCTTCCCTCTCCTTTTAATGACAGATTACATTAAACAATGTATTTGTTAACTGGAGCAGTTGTACTATTACTAAGTCAAACGAATATTTTGTTCTTCCTTTTCAAATGAAGATGTTGACTGAAAATTGTATTTTAAAAGGCTAAGACAGATGATACCTACGTAAACAATTATGTAAATCTGCATTCCCTTCCTCAACAGCTGCACATGGGCAAATTAATTCCCTTTTGGGATACAAAAAAAAAAAAATTAAGTAATAGGAAGGGATTCAAAATTTGTGTTACTTAAACCACTGCTTAAATTACATGCTTATTACATACTGCTTCTGTCCAGTAGGTAATATAATACTCAGCAAGATCCCCTCCTTTCCTTCTGCTTCTTTTTTAACAGCCATGGCCCTTTTGATTTCTTCCCATCCCCCCCTTCTGGGTATCTGCCTTGTTTTCCAGTAAAAAATGCTCAGCATCCCAACTACCTTTCAATCATTATAATAAAAACTGAATGGCAGATGCTTAAATATATGCTTAGGTTACAGCAGAATCCATGACTAATTAGCGTACGGTTGTACCATCTGGGGATTAAGACGGCCAGATCTGCTTCTACTTGAAAAATATAAGTCCGTTGGGTACCACGGAAGGAGTAGCTCAATCGCCTTCCATATGTAAGGTGGGAAAAGGGATCCTTCTTACCACTCTCCTCTCCTCTATCCCCAGTGTCACCATTTACACATGTAGATCCGCCCCCCCAACCCCGGCCCTGCCTGCCGTGCCTTGTTATACATAGGCTTTCATTAGGGACCTACAATTGCCCTTTTCACACAACAGCCTGGCTGTAGTGAGCTCTGGGCTGTACTGACTGTCAGTCACTTCCATTTCCATGATCATCCTGTCTTTAAATTCCCTTTCTATTGATTCATTAGACTAAAAAACAGAATACGGGAGTTAAAAGAGACCTTAGAAATCTAGTCCAACTCATTTTACATCAGAGGAAGCCAAGGCTTAGGGAGGGCAAATGACTTGTCCTAGGTTGCAAAGCTGCTCAGTAGCAGAGCCAGGATGCTAACAGTTTTTGAGGGTCCCAGCTCAGCATTCCTTTCTACACATTCTCACCCCCAAGTACAGGGCAAGGCAGGCTTAGCAAGACAACATTTCACGTGAAGTTTTGGGGGCTTTAATGAATTCCAAGTTCAACAAGTAGGTCACAGTGGCCAAAAAGCTCACATAATCTTAGCCAGCATCAAGAGAAACAGCGTGTTCAAAGCAGGGAGAAGACGGTCCTGCTGAGATAATACACTGTGCTGGCATACTCTGTAATGGCCAAATCTTGGGAAGGACAACGATCAGAAAGGTGACGGGGCTAAAGCCGATGCCCTACCTGAACTGGCTGAAGGACTGTCAGGTGGGAGACGGCAAACACCAGGTAAATTTGTTTAAGCCCTGAGGGCTGAACTAGACCTCATGGGAGCAAGGTGCAGTGAGGCTGTTTCAGCTCCACGTAAGGAAAAATCTCCTAATGATTAAAGCTGCTCCCAAGTGGCACAGAAGGCAGGCAATCATCTTCAAGGGAGACAACAAAGCAAAGGCTGGACGGCACTGTCAGGGATGCTAGAGAGAGGCTTCCTGTCAGGCCAGAGTTGGATTAGATGAGCTCTGGTCACAGTCTATGATTATAAGTCATCATGCTGCCAATGAAAATGTTCCACAAATACTTACCATTTGCTTGCAAGTTTCCAAACCACTGCTGAACTGTTTCAGAGTGAGATGTCTGGTCTGAAAATGGAAAAGCAGATTTTCCTGGATGGGGAGGACTAGAATAGAATAAAATATAATGGTTTCATAATTCAGCAAAAATTAAGAAATTTTCATTTGAAAGAAGAAAATGTGCATAAGAAAAATCATTTTTCTTCATTTCAACAAGCATTTATTATTATTTATTATATGTACAGTGTCAGGCACTGGGGAGGCAAATAAAAAACAAACAGTAACAGAACCCACCTTCAGTGAGTTTACAGTCTGCTGGGGGGAACAACAGGCATTAACGGGAGTCAGGAAAGACCTCTATTTTAAATTACATTGGTTTTCCAAGAAAGAAAAGGACACAAAAATAAGGATAAAAACATTATGCTTGTCAAAAAAAAAAAAAAGTCTAACAAAATTAAGAAAGTGGAACATGAAGTAAATACTAAGCAATGTGGGCAAGGAGGAAGCACTAGGAACTGGGCCAGAAAGGCCTTGGGTAGTAGATGCCACTTGAGCTTCAACACCAAGGTTATCATGGTGTCTTTTCTGTTTATCGGTGTGACACCTACGGGTGAATGGATGAAGACTAAAGGAGCTCATCACCCTAAGGAACTGAAGGAATAGGGCCTCGGCCTCTCAATGAGCTCCTCAGCTCCCAGAAGTGTGGATGCCCCACTGGCACCTCACACTCCACACTTCCAAAATGGAACTCAGTACAGCTCCCGCAAAGCCCTCCCTTATCCTAATTTCCTTGATTTCTGTCAAATTCACCGCCATCTTTCCAGTCACTTAGGTTCTATCCCCCCATATCTAATCAACTGCCAAATCCTATCAATTCCAAATTGTCCCCTTTTCTTCAATGACAGAGCCAGTGGATTTGCTGAAACCCTTCCCATACTTAGCTCTTTCTAACTGTTCTCCATAACTCCAGGCTCTCCTTTCATGCTACCAACATGATATTCCTAAAGCATGGATCTCAACATGTGACTAAGTGTCTGTGGCTCCTTTCTGTCTCTAGGACAAATACAACCTCCTCTGTTTGACCCTGAAAGCTCTTCACAGCTTGGATCCAGTCGTCCTTCCAGACTGCTCAGTAACAGCCTCCCTCATGAACTCTACCTGCCAGGCAAAATGGTCCATTCCAAAATGGACATTCCACCTTTTACTTCCATGCCTTCATACGGGTATTCCCCTCATACCTGAAATACTCTCTCATCACTTCTGCCTCATGTCGAGCCAACAATTGTATTAAGAGCCCACTATGTGTCAGGTACCATGCTACAAAAACAGTACCTGTCCTCAAGGAGCTCACTTTTTAATTGGGGGAGACAACATGCAAATCAACTACATACAAACAGGATGTATACAGGATGAATCAGAGATAATCTCAGAGGAAAGACACAAAAACACCCCAGAGGACCAGGAAAGGCTCTTTGCAAACAGCTTCTGATAATCCGCTGGATCCATTCAAGGTCTACCTCAAGTGCCCCCTGCTACACAAGGCCTTTCAAGCCCAATTCTTAGTGCTTGCCACCCCTCAAACTACACGGCATTGATCTCATATGTATTTTACCTCTAATGATCAGTCTACATGTTGCACACCTGCCCCCACCCTCCAGCAGAATAGAAGCTCCAGGAGGGAAGAGGCAGCTATGGTTTTCGTCTTTGTACCTTTGGTGCCTGGAACATAAACAGGCTTAATAAATGCTTGTTGAATAGGAATTATTGTATGATAATGATAAGAGGGTTGGAAGAACTAATCTTACTGTGCTTGGTCTTTATCAGGTCTTTCAAAAAGGCCAGGAATATCTGAAGTGTTTTCTTGAAATATGTGAAAAACATTGGCATCGTTGTCAGCAGGTGAAAACCTCTCCTCGTTTTCGGGCCATCCCCTTCTGTGGGGCTTTGAGAGGATATCTGCTGAGTGACAACGCTCCACGGCCGGTGGTTTGGCTTGAGAATGACCACTAGACGTACCCGATCGATCAGAGGAGTGGGCTCTGCGTAGGTATCGAGAATGTGGCCTTTCTTCGACATCTTGCAGCAGTCTTCCCCGGCCACTATGACTGGTCTCTTGCCCTTGAATTCCCCACTGATTATAAAAACTGCTTCCATCACCAGATGAAAAATTACTCACATTCTTATTCTTTGGAAATATAGTCATTTTATTTGGAAGCGGCTGACCAAACAATAGTCTTTTCTTGTCCGGTAAACAACCACTTATACTGGCACTGGAAGAACCGGTAAGTGCTGTAGAAATTGTGGCATGTCCACTATCGATCGAATCTTCTACAGTTCCCGAATCTTTAATTCTCCCTGAAGAACTTCGACACATAAAAGGATGATCCAACACTGAAGACAGACTTAAACGTTCTGCTGGATTTCTACGAAGTAACTGATGAATAAGGTCCTTGGCCTCTTGTGACAAAAAGGCTGGCATCTCATAATCTGCCAGCACCACTTTACTTAATGTGTTTCTGACTGTGTCAGTGTCAAAAGGGGGTCTCCCAATAAGTAATGTATAAAACATACACCCTAGGGACCAAACATCAGATTCAAGTCCATGTGCACTTCTTGTGGCAACTTCTGGTGAAATATAATTAGGAGTTCCACATAACGTATAGTGTTTTTCATTTGGCATTTTCAATTGAGTTGCTAGACCAAAATCAGCAATCTTGATATTCATATTACGTGTGAGTAAGAGGTTAGAAAGTGTGAGGTCCCGATGTAATATACCATGAGAATGAAGATACAACATTCCTGTGATGATCTGGTGCATGAATTGTCGAGCTATTTGGAGGCAAAAAAAAAAAAAAAAATCAGTGCCAGCAAAATCCCTATTTATACAATAGGATGGCAAAGTAGCACTACAGTTATTCTACTACACTGGCTTACAGCTTTGCCACTGCTAACAATATCATACAAATACAATATAAACACTACTTCTTTGTCCCAGATGGCAACAAGAAATCAGAGGGAGTTAGGAGATCAAGAAATCTGTTATTCCCTCTTATAGGGATGCCTTTTCTTCAAAGGTGTCATAAAACCGGAATCTGAGTCCCATCTCTCCTATTTATTAGTCATGTGACCTTAAACCAGTCACTCATCTAGTGTGAGACTGTTTTTCCATCTATAAAATGAAAGTAACATCTACCCTACTTTAGTGGGTCGTTGTGAGGTTCAAATGACATAGGAATATTCTGTTAGCTTTAAAGCATAGCACACTGGGAAAAAAAAAAAAGCTGTGATGAGGATTATTTTTACATGAGATAATCAGGGGGCATTTTCTACATTTTCCTACCCCTACCTGGATGACAAGTCACAGTGAGGCGGTACTTTAAGCACCAGGACAGATACAATGGTAGCTTTCACTGGCAAACCAGCAAACACACTACTCCACCTTACCTAACTTTTTTTTTTTTAAAGAATATAGTCTAATTAAGGCATTAATACCCTCTAAAAAGTCCTTTTACTGATCTAGACTAGAAACTGAAATTGTTTTATTATCATGACTTTTGCAAAAATAACAACTCAAGACCAGTTAAAATATATATTAGTCTTTAAGAAAAGGATGCCTTACCACTTCCCATCTTTCTATGATTAAACTATTGTCTCAAAACAAAACATAGAGATAATATTAAGTTTGTCTTAATAACGACAATACCAAAAATTAAAGTGTTACATTGTGTTCAATTTCTGAAGACCATACCTTCACTTTCAGAGAAAGGTTTCATTCTATTCTTCAGGTACCTGTTCATTTCTCCATTATGACATATTTCTAATACCAGATACACGTAATTGCTATCTTCAAAATAGTTATAAAGCTGAAACACAGAAAAAAGAAAGATAAGCTAATAAGCAATTCCTGGGAGAAATACAGCCAGCCTCATTCTGGCATCTTCTCACCTCCAGGATAGAAGGATGTTTCAGTTGACAGTGTATCTTCACTTCATTCTGGACCCTCTGGACCATCCCAGCTTTGTGCATGGCCTTTTTATCAATCTAAAAATTTTTTAATAGATGACAATGTTAAATGTAAATTTTGCACTGTCAAAAAGAGTAATAATAACTACTTTTAGAATGAAATATTCTATTAGCTAGGGGCAGTTAGATGGCAGGGTAGTGGATAGAACGCTGGGAGTGGAGTCAGGAAGATTCATCTTCCTGAGTTCAAATCTGACCTCAGACACTTACTAGCTGTGTGACCCTGAGCAAATCACTTAATTGTGTTTGCCTCAGTTTCCTCATCTGTAAAATGAGCTGGACAAGGAAATGGCAAACCACTGCAATACCTTTTTTTTTTTTTTTTTTTTAAGGCAATTGGGGTTAAGTGACTTGCCCAGGATCACACAGCTAGTAAGTGTCAAGTGTTTGGTCTAGGGCCGGATTCTGCAATATCATTTATCAAGAAAACTCCAAATGGGATCACAAAGAGTTAGACATGGCTGAAAACAACTCAACAACAAGAACACTGTATGAAATACAAACGAATGAGAGGTGACTTCAGGAAGTCTGTTTTAAATCTAGCTATCAGATTGAAAAAAAGAAAAAGGAAATGACCTTTTAGATTAAAATAATAACTTGGGTTTTTAAAACAGGCTTTTCAGATTTTTGTCGGTGCCCCGGCCCTACCTTTTTATGATCCTACTTTAACCAGCTGTCCTTTCTCATCCCTGACCCACAAAAACTCTCCTTCTTACATAAGAAGTATGACCCCTACTAGAGGTGTAAAGAGGAAACATAAAGGAAAATCCTCCCTCCCTCCCTCCCTTCCAATTAGAAGATGATTCTAGATTTGATGTACATTTCTTGTTCTCTAAGGAGGAGAGACAGTGTCACTTTAGACTAGTTTTTGGCAGAAAGAGAATCAGATTTGGAATCAGTGAACAGAGTTCCAATCCCGCCTCTTCAGCTTTCGAGCTACCTGCCTTACCACAGAGAGGCAAGTCACTCAATCTCTCTGGGCCTCAGTATCCTCATGTGTCTCATGCAGGAGCTGGACTAGATAATCTGTAAGGTGTCTGCATGCAAAGTCCTATATTACTCTATGTTATCAGTTCCAACACAGCACTATAAACAAGTGGGCATTTAAAAAAATTACTCCTACAAATGATATATTTTTAAAATGTCAATGAAACTTTGAAAAAATACCAAAAACAGCAGAAGGAAGTTTAGAGGAGGACACAGATAAGCAGGGAAGAATTGGTAGTACCATGTTAGATTTGAAATAACAAAATGACAATTACAACGAACAGATTCACAGTTTCACAAACGATACTCTCTTTTGTGATCTTTGGATAGGGAAACGTTCATAACTGTCAGCCAACAATAGCTACAAAGAGAAATCAGACCCTTACAACCGGTAATAGCTTTGCCCAATCATAACGGCCGCCTTTTCTACAAACCAAGCTGACCCATTCCTGTCTTCTTCCCGACTCCTTGGCTCACACCGTCCACGGGGTTTTCTTGGCAGAGATGACGGCGCGGTTTGCCATCTCCTTCTCCGGCGGCTGTCCAGGGGGCCGGGCTCTTCGGGGTCCGAGGCCGAGGCTGGAGCTGAACTCTGGTCTCCACGACTCCGGGCCCAGCGCTCTACCCCCTGGGCCGCCCGGCCGCCCCCTCCTATACACCTGCCCACCCGCACACGCGGACAAACCCCGACGTCCACGGCCCTCCGAGAGGCGCAGGGCCGGCAATGAGGGCCGGCGGGCCGGGCGCTCCCGGCTCTGCCCGCCAGCAGAGGCACTCACCATTTTGATCGCAACCTCCAGCCCCGTGTGAATGGACTCCGCTCTGTAGACCCCGGCGAAAGACCCCTTCCCAAGGAGGCTTCCGACTCTGAAATCCTTAGGAACGAAAGGCGCGGTTAGAGAGGGGCTGTCTCCCAAGGGGGAGCCGGCGGGGACGGGTGCGGGGGCGCGGGGGCTCACCTCGATGGCCGAGCCGTCCCGGGGGCAGGGCATGGTGCCGCGGACTCGGGGTTCCTGCGACTGCAGACCAAGCGCCCTCCCCCCCGGAGGAGGACCGAGGGCCCGGGCCCCGGCTCCCGCCGCAGCTGCCGCCCAGGAAACCGCCGTCCCCAGGGACGGGGACGGGGGCGGGGGCCCCGCGGTGCCGGCTCATCGCAGGGCGCCAGCTGCGGCGGGAGCTGGGAGACCAGGACCCCGCGCCTCTCCAGAAGTGGTCTGGCCCACGCTCCTCCCCCCCGCCTCTCCCGAAGTGGTCTGGCCCACCCTCCTCCCCCCTCCTCGGAAGTGGCCTAGTCCAAATTCCTCGCCCTCCCGCCCCCCGCCCCGCCCCCTCGGAAGTGGTCTGGCCCCCGCCGTCCCCCCCGCCTCCTCGGAAGTGGTCTCTCCCGCGGGCCCGCCCAGGCCTCGGACCCTGCCCGCCCGGCCCAGAGCTCTCGCCGCGGTCCTTCGCACCGCCCCCATCCTCTGCTCCCACCTCTATCTTCTCCCCGATGTAAGCCGCCATGTTTCTGGGCTGTCACCGCCGTCAGCCGGGCTCGCTCCTTCCCGTAGTCCGTCGGAAGCGGCGCTCCAGGCAGCCGGCCGCCTTCGGCGCCCATCAGGCTCGGCTCTCTAGGCCGCCGCTCCGCGCGGCGGCGGCGACGGCGGCGGCGGCAGCGGCGCGGCCACCTCCGAGGTCCCGCCAGGAGCCGGGCGGCACAGCCACAGAACCATTTTGAAAAATTCCGCCCGTTGCCGTCAAAGCGAGGCTGGGCGCGTACGCGCTGACGTAAGCGCGCGGGGCGTGGCCGGCCGGGAGGCCCGGAGCGCGCATGCGTGCGGCGTCCGGAGGTCGGCCTGCTCGCGGTCCCGGCCGGGGCTACCCGACTGTGCCTCTGAGCGCTGGCGCACGTAGGCGCGTAAAGGCGGGGCTTCCTAGGGGCTTACTGACTGAGTATTCCTTGCTCCCCTCGTCTTTACAGAGGCGGAAACTGAGGCCCAGAGCCGTGCAGGGGCTTGTCTGAGGCCACGCTGGTCAGGGGAAGCGCAAGGATTTGAACCCTCATTGCAGTGGAAGGGCTGGGCTGTTGCCCCGTCGAGGTTCCCCCCTCAGTCATTCAGTCGGTCAGGCAGCATTTATTACGCGCCTGCGCTGTGCGTCCTTCCTCCTACAAGAGGAGCGTGACGTCATGGCGTCAGGTGGCTCGGACGTCCGTGGGGCGGGGCTGCGGCAGGGCCCCGGCCGTCCCGCGGCCCGAGAGCTGGGGGGGGGTAGGAGAGGCGGCCCGAGACGGACGGGCCCTGCCCTGGAGGAGCCCCCCCCCCAGAGCCCCGCCCAGAGCCGCACGCGCCCAGGCACTGCTGCCAGGGCTGGCCCTGGGGCCCTGAGGGCTAGGTGACCGGTGTTTGAGAGCACAGCTTGAACCTCGGGCACCAAGACCCTCTCAGGAGGATGGCTTTTTTGGTTTTTTTTTTCATATTCAACAATCACTTCCATAAGCTTTTGAGTTTTACATTTTTCTCCCCCTCCCTCCCCTCCCCAGGACGGTTTGCAATCTGATATAGGCTAGCCATATACATTCCTATTAAACGTTTTCACGTTGGTGATGTTGTGAATGAGAATTATAACCAACAGGAGGAACCACCAGAAAGAGGGAACAAAACACAACAGAAGGAAAAAAAAAAAAAGCAAATACTCTGCTTCAATGTGCATTCACACTCCGCAGTTCTTTCACTGGATGTGGATAGCATTTCCCATCATGAGCCTTTTGGAGATGTCTTAGAGCCTTGCATTGATGAGAAGGGCTCCGTCTATCAACGTTAGTCATCACACGGCGTGGCTATTACTGGGTGCAACGTCCTCCTGGTTCTGCTCACTTCACTCAGCATCAGACCATACAAGTCTTTCCAGATTCTTCTGAAGTCCGCCTGCTCATCACTTCTTATAGCACAGTAGTATTCCATCGCATTCATATACCACAAATTGTTCAGCCATTCCCCAAGGGAAAGGATTTTTTTTTTTAAGACAAAATTGCTAACTAAAGAAAATGCATGCTCACAACAGCCAGGATCCTCAAGTTTGCTTTTTATTCGGTTGTGCTTCAGCACGTGTACAATTTCTTGAATTTGCTGCCTCTGAATTTGTGTGGTAGGCTCATGAAAGAGTCAGTCCTTAAATGCTGGTTTTAGGATTACAAGATTTGGAACCAGAAGGCACTTTAGAGTTGCATTTACCTCATTTCACAGTTAAGGGCACAACTTTTTCAGAGAGGACAAGTGATTTGCTGAAGGTCACATAGCTGGCTTTACTGTTCCTTAGGATTCAACATTTTCCCTCCCACTCCAAGCCTTTGAACAGGCTAGTCCACTCCCCAACACCACTCCATCCCTCCCAAAGCCTGGCTGCACCCCTGCCCCCCATTAACCTCTTCCTACACAGCTCAGTCCAGAGCCCATCTTCTGCCTTTCCTGATCCCCAGCTGCCAAGGTCTCTTTTCTCATTACTTTTGGTTACTCCGCCTATTTTGAATGCTAGAAGTTTTCTGAAGTTTAAAAATTTGATTTTTATCCTAGTATCCTTAGTGCCTGACATGTGAGGGGCTCTTAAATGCTTGTTCAAGATGTACACTTACTATTAGGAAGCTCCAGCTCACTCCTGTTGCCTTTTAGCTTAGGGACACCTAGTTAATTTATGTAACTCTTGACATATGCCAGGGTCCGAATCTAACCTCTTGGATATCTATTTGTACCTGCAGATAGAAAGGGACAGTGAACCGAGCTTTTTTTTTCCTTTAAAATTTTTTATTTGGAAGGTCTTGTTTCCAGGTCTGAAAATAATAGTAGCATTATTGGTAGTACCTGAATCACCCATAAGATCAGAGATCCATTGAAGTCATTTCATTGAAGGAAAAATAAGCAGTTTTTTCTTTTCCTGCCCTTAGTCTGCGTTAGCAAGGTGCTGTGTGGAAAGTATATTCATTGACCTTCTCTATCAAGCCACCCCCACATGGGCTGTGTATAGTAAATGCTTTATAATAATGTTTGTGAAATTTAAATTTTTAAAACAGGCAGCATGGTGTGCAGCAAAAACAGCCCTGGCTTTGGATGTAGGAGACCCAGCTTTGATCTGAGAACTGCTATCACCCAGGAGCATGTGCTCCTTGAGAGCACAGACCAGACTACTTTTGTATCTGATCTGTCCCTCAGTGCCTAGTATAGTGCCTGGCACAGGCTTCTTGATTTTTCTGGATGGATGTTAGACTCCAGCCCAGAAACTTCCAGTGCTTCCCCATTGCTTTGGATGAATAGCTCTTCCCCAAACTCCACATTTCATCCTGGGGTCATCACCAGTCATTTTGACTTTTGTCTTGACTTTGGACTCTGATGACTGGAGGAGAGAGTGAGGCTGATGACTTTTCAAAGCTCTGCCTCACTTAAATCCAATTCATATAAAAGTCAAGACGTCACCCTCCTGAAGTCAATTTGTCTTCAACCAAGCAAGGATGAACAACGAGTGAACCGATTCAGAGCAAAGTAGGCAGAATTTAAAAAATGATACACACAATGATAATAGTAATGTAAAACTATTTTAAAAGACAGACACGCCAATGAGAGGAGGGAAGCGAATAAGTATTAAGTGCCTATTTTGTACCAGACACTGTATCAAGTGTTTTACAGATGCTATCTTATTTGGTCTTCCCAGCAACCTTGGGAGGTGGGTGTTGTCATCTCCTTTTTCAGTTGAGGAAACTGGTAGACAGAATAGTTAAGTGACTTGCCCAGGGTCACACCGCTATCTTGAGGCCAGATTTGGACTTGGGTCTTCCTGACTCCAGGACTACCACTCCATCCACTGTGCCACCTCGATGCCCACTATTGCTTGTAACGACCGTGAGCAGTAATCTTTTGTGCTTCAAGGCAATCCTCAAAACCTGTAACTTACGTAAAAATTGCTGCTCAGCCTCTGTGGAGGGAGTTCTTATTATCCCAATGAAATTCTGAGCTGATTTTGCCTCACGCTCGTCGTCTGGCAGTTTCTGTTCAGTGTTGGAAGCACTTGCTCCTAGTCATTCAAAGGCATCAAAAAGGAATTTACTTAGCCGTAACAGGAGAAAAATATTAAGCAAGGATCTACATGAGGTCACCCTAAGTTGACTGAACTGAGAAGCAGCTCCTGTGCCTGAACTGCCGATTGTGGTCCTCCAGCCAAGCATCACAGAATCCTTTGAAGCATCCCCATGACCAGGAAGTGAGGTCAATAATTTAATTAATTCCCTGAGCCAGTCGAGTCTAGATGATTCAAACAATTGTTAATAAACAACTAGCCTAACCTGCTTGGTGGCAGGGGTGAGGAGCTTGCTCCCACTGTATTCTACCCCATCAGGTTTACTCACAAGCAGCATTCAAAATCTCAAGTGCAGCCAGAAGCAGATGAAAATGTAACTGAAAAATATTTAACAAAATAAGTAAAAATACACTACAACATAGATAATGTTAATTTTGGTTTTCCGAGTCTCTATGTGGCCCATTTCTGAGTTTGACCCCACTGTTCTTAATGACTTTGTGCTACTTAAATGACTATTAGTGGTCAGTCCTGGCTCCCACGATTCAAGATGCTTGATATAGGCTGCACCAGAGGAGGAAAAGAAGGGCTAAAATGGAAATATAGCTAAAATAAAACAGCCCCTGAAGGAATGGTGATAGGGAAGAAGATCAGAAATCCCAGGTCCCCTACTCCCCTCCCCTTCCCTTTGGAAGGACCAAGTCCTGGGTCTAAACAATCAGGTTCATATGGTGACCATGAACAGGATCAGTACCAAGAACATGAGGGCCATAGAAGAGATGACATTTTCTGACTAGTCACTGATCCTAATCAGGTCATGAAAAATGGCTAACACCAACTGCTAGTGTTCCATAGCCCACTGGCCGGGACCCCTCCCTTCCTGGAGGTCCGTGGAAGGGTCTGGGGCAGGGGAGAGGTAGAGGGGAAGACAGATCTTCACTCCATGAGAGCCCCCTGTCCCCCTTTTGTGAGGGCTGGGTAGACTTTTTCACCTCAACACCAGAAAAAAAGTGGTGTACCTCCCAACGATGCCTTCATATCCTCCCTGGGAAAGAGCTCTCCAGTGCCCACAGGGTGTTGTGCGCGCAGCAATGTGGGGCAAGCACTTCCAGATTGTAGTTATCTTTGCCCCTAAATCCACCCCCCCACCCCCATCACTGTAGAAGGTAGCACCATCCTGAGTCTTTCAGGCTCCCAACTTAGATTCCACTCTCACCCCCTTTTCCAAACTGTTGCCAAGAATGGTTTCCATCCTCTGCAACATCTCTCAAACGTGCCTTCTCTCTTCTAACACTGACCTTAGTCTAGTATAGGGCAGAGCCTCATTACTTCACATCTGAACTGTTGCAGCAGCAGATGCTGGTGGGTATGCCTGCCTCAAGTCTCTCACCACTCTGTGCCATCCTGCAGTAACCAATGAAGTCCTCATATCTGAAGTACTCCCCCTCCTCATCTCTGTCTTCTGGCTTCAATATTGCCTTCTACAGGAGACCTTTCTCAATCCCTCTAAATCCCAGTTCTTGCCCTTTGTTGGATATTTCCGA